TAAAAAAAAACTCTATAAAACTCTAAAATCTACCTAATAAAATTCAAATTAACCTATTTATCTATTTATTATTATGAATTTTTTAATAAAAGTAAATCTAAAGTTTCAGTATTTATTTATTTATTTAAAAAAATATTTATTAAATGTGCAAAGAGTTTCAGTATTTATTTATTTGTATAAAAAATATTTATTAATTGATATTAAAACAGTTTTTATAGAAAAAAAAACTTCTATAAAACTCTAAATTTACCTAATAAAATTCAAATTAACCTATTTATTATTATGAATTTTTTTATAAAAGAAAACCTAATTTTATGAGTAAAATACAGAAGTTGTGTCAAGGTGTTTAAGTATTTATTTATTTATATAACAAAATATTTATTAATTGATATAAAAAAGTTTTTATCTATAATATTATTACATGTGCAAATAAAGTGTTTCAGTATTTAACTATCTATTTTTTTAAAATATATATTTATTAATTAATATGCAAAGACTTTTTATAAATAAAAAAAATGTCAATCAAACTCTAAAATCTATCTAATAAAATTTAAGTTAATCTATTTATTATTATGAATTTTTTAATAAAAGAAAATCTAATTCGACTAGAATTGTTAATACAAAAAATATTTATTAATTGATATATAAAATAAAATAATTTTTCTAAAACTCTATCACAAATTAAGTTTTATTATGAGTTTCTTAATAAAATTAAATTTAATTAAAAAAGAATATATTTAAAGAAAATAAAATAATTTTGATAAAACTCTATCACAAATCACAAATTTTATTTTCAATAAAACTCTATCACAGTAGATAAATATATAATATTTAAAGAGTTTCTATAAAATTTTAACTCAAATTTTCTATTTATATATTTAGTAATTGTTTTTTAATAAAAGAAGATCTAATTAGACAAGTATTATTAATACAAATAATTATTTATTAATTGATTTAAAAAGAGTTTTTAAAAGAGTTTCTATAAAACTATATCACAAATTTCTTATTTATCTATTTATTATGAGTTTCTTTAATAAAAAGAAAATCTAATTAGACACGCATTATTAAGATAAAAAATATTTATTAATTAATAAAAAAAGAGGTTTGAAAATAATTTATATAAAACTCTAACACAAATTACCTATTTATTATGAGTTTTATAATAAAATGAAATCTAATTAGACAAGAATTATTAATATAAAAAAATATTTATTAATTGATATAAAAAGTGTTTTTTAAATAATTTATATTAAACTGTAAATCAAATTATTTATTTATTATAAATAGATTTTCCAGAAAATATAATAATTTCTATAAAATTTTACCACAAATTATCTATTTTATTTTCTTTAAAACTCTATCACATATAACTTGTTTTTATCTATTTATTGTGAGTTTTTTTATGAAGGAAATCTAATTAGACAACGATATATTTAAAGAAAATAAAATATATTTTTAAAAGAGTTTATATAAAATTCTAATAAAAATTACCTATTTATGTATTATTATGAATTTTTTAATAAAATATAATATAACTAGACAAGAATTATTAATATAAAAAATATTTAATAATTGGTATAAAAAATAATATAATTTTTCTAAAACTCTACCACAAATTATGTTTTATTATGAGTTTTTACAAAATTCTAACACAAATTACCAAAACTTTACCACAAATTAAGTATTTTATTTTATTTAAAACTCTATCGCATATAATCTGTATTTATCTATTTATTTTGAGTTTTCTTATAAAATTAAATATAATTAAATAAGGATATATTTAAAGAAAATAAAACAATTTATATAACTCTATCACATTAGACAAGGATATATTTAAATAAAATATATAATAATATAATAATACATATAAATAAAATATAAATGTTAAAGAATTTGAACATTTCAATATTTATTTTTTAATATAAAAAATATTTATTAATTAATACAAAAAGAGAACTCTATCACATATAAGTATATAACCCTTGTATTTATCTATTTTTTATGAGTTTTTTAATAAAAGAAAATCTAATTTTACAAAGATATGTCTAAATAAAATTAAATAATTTATATAAAATTATACCACAAATTACATATTTAAATAAAATAAATATAACCTAGGGTCTTCAAAAAACCACAAACTCCATATAATAAATTTTTATATCAATTTCAATCTAATGTATAATTAGTATAATTGAATTTCTATTTTAAAATTTAATTAAAAATTAATATAATTGAATTTCTATTGTAAATTAAAAATTATACTAAATTTCAAATTATCTAATAAAATTCAAATTACAAATTACCTAAAAAAATTTGTTACTTTGCAAAACTCAAATATTTCAACATTAAAATAAAAAATTATTATTTAATAAAAAATAAAATATACATATTTCAGTATTAATATAAAAACATAAAAGAATTTATTAATTTACGAAACTTAAACTCTATTACTAATTTCAAAATATTTCAGTATTTATTTATTAATATAAAATAAATTTTTATTATTCAATATGAAGACAAAAATTTTATAAGTAACAAAATATTCATCACGTGCATCGCACGTACCTTTTCCTAGTATATATATATATATATATATCATCGGCATTAGAATTGAACTACATGCAAAAGGCCTTTTATGTACATAGAGGCCTAGTATTGGGTTACATTCTGAATCGTTGCGAACATGGGTCTAGTTTTGGGCCTTCAGTTGAGACATGGGCTGACTTCAAAATTTAACCCATATATACATATCAAGGCCGCCGGCCTATGACCACTTTAAAATTGGGTCGAGAGTTAACACCACTTTTATAAGCCTGGTCTTGTGAATCTCGTCACCTTGTGTCACACCAAAATCAAAGGGCAACACAAAACTATTTTCACAAAACAATAAAACACGGTTATATGATATAAACATTTTTTATAATTGAATTTTCAGTAAATAAAAGTAAAACAAACAAAGTTTTTGTACGAATTTATTATTTTTAGTTCTTTAAAAATAAAATTCTTTTCTTAATGAAAAATCAAGTAGACCCCCTATTGATTCAGTTTTATTTATTTATTTTTTTTAAATAATTTTCATTCAGAAAATAATTTAAGGTCTTCTCAATTTGTAACTCTAAAAATAGTTTTGTGTTTTTAAATAACTGAAAATCAGAAACTGTACAAAAACTCTGATTGATTCAGTTTTCTGAAAATTTTGTTAATAAAAATATATATTTTCGAAGAATTATTTTTTATAATTATCTTAAAAATGTTTTTTTATTTTTTGAATTATTTAAAACTGTTTTCAGAGTTAAAACTCTTAATGATGTACTCAAATTTAAAATAACAATTTTTTCTTAAAATTAATTTCAAATAATACTTTTCTTATAACGATTTATTTCTCTCTCGAAATGGAGTTATACAAATGAAAGGGAAATTCGATGGTCTTTGAAATGGACTTGGATTCCCTCGGTTGAAGAGGTCCTGTTATTTTGTCCTGTCAATCTTACCTCCAAACATCAATATTTTAAGGTATATGATACGTCCCGCAAGAAAGGATCCGAATCCAAGCAACCAATGTCTGTTAAAATAATTCATTTAGTACTTGAATGGGTTTTTTAACATTAATTTTTGACTCTCAAATTAAAATTGTGGGTCTCAACTTTTAATGTTTTTGTACCAAACGTTTAATCCAGTGACTAACAAACAAACTTTCCAACAAAAATACATGTAAACTAGAATAAAAAAATTGAGTCCTATAGAACAAATTAGCAGGATATACATGAGACACTGAAGCAAAAATTTGTACTAGGCCGTCGTGTATTTATGTCTTGTATACTAATTTCAAACTACTGTCCACCAACGAACGTGCAGTCACCTACCTTCCCCAACCTCTTTTCATTATTCTCTTTCTATCATAAATTCCTTTTTCTCTTTCCTTTTTGGTTTTTACATTGTCTCTCATCTATTTTAGTTATTATTATTATTATTTTTAAAATATGTGTATTAACCCCACAATACACACCATTCAAATTAAGAGTGCAATTCAAAAGCGTGATATTAAGGACTTACCTTTCGAATCCCTACCAATACAGCTATACCTTGAAGACATTTATTTTGTTATTTATTGGGCTCAATGAATTATTTTACAATCATCTCTTTGCATCATTCTTAAATTACCCATGTCAATTTCAAAATATAGATAAAAAAGAAAAAAAAAAAAATTTATGTATGTATGTAAGTATAATGTGTATGTGTGTGTTTTTTATACAAAAAACAAAGGAACATTGATGGTGGAAAACCTTTATACTTTTGAATGCCAGCACTAAAAATTTTAGTTTCTTTGAAATCAAAATTTTAAAAACTAATTTAAATAAAAGTTTTAACTCTATAGTGTTAGATAATACATGTGTTGAAAAATGGCTTTTTAAGTGTAAAGAACGCTAGTGGTGTGTTTATTAAGTCACTTGTACAGCAAAAATAATTACCACCTGAAATGTAAAATAAACTAGAAAAAATTGGATTTCAAACTAGGAAGAATAAAGGCGTTGAATAATAAAAGCTAAAGCAATAAAAAAAAATTAGAGTATTGACTAGTGGTATTGAAAACGTCACAAAACACCAAATATCTGAAGTTATAGAACTTAAAAATTTGAATTGAATTTACAATTTAGAAGCTTTGAAAGAATACCATCTCACTCCATTTAATGTATTTAATATCCATCTTCTTTCTGACTTTGATGTTAAATTGTATACAATAGTTCTTTAAACTGACGTTACTTTTACATTTTTCGCGATCTCCTTTTTCACAATTCGTACTGGTTTTTACTTTCATTCTCACCTTATAAAACTTAAATTTTACATGTTCTTCCACTACAACTATGTGAATTTATTTCTCTTTAGTAATAGGGTGGACTGCGTGATTTATTTGGTAGGGGAAAAAAAAAAAAAAAAAAAAATTTACAGGGACATGCCAAATAATTATTACTTTCAATCCAGTATCATTTAAACATCTTATAATTGTTTTTCATACTCCCTTCTCTGTTTTTGGGTTCCATCTCTGTCCACTTGCCTTTTTTTCTCACCTTTTCCTCCCTCTCATGCGCTCCCGATTCTCTCTCTCTGCACTCTATCCACCACTACTACTACTATTTCTTTCACATCGCCCTCTCTCTATCTACTTTCTCTCTCTAAAATCCTTGAATTCGTAAGCAGTAACAGATTCTTTCTTTGAAGAGACGATGAAAAGTACCAAAACCAAAACCTCAATGAAAAACCATATTCTCCTGATTCCTCTCTAATCTTGCTATTTCTCATTGCCCATCACATCGTCTTTTTCATTTTCTCTCTCTAAAGTTATATATATGCTCACCATCTGCAACGTTCTTTGGCGATCTCCTAAAGCTGTGCCCTAAATTGCCAGACTTTTTTCTCTCTGGCATTTTGTACCATCAAGGTCTCAGCTCCGAACAATTGTAGGGTTTTTATAGATTTTTAATTTATTTTTTGGATGGATTCGGAGGACGATATGCACGACGCCAATGATGCCGAGTCCGTTGACGACTTCTACAGCGGTGACACGTACATGGACAGTGACAATGACGATGCTGCCGATTACGAGTTCTTGGATAACGACTCTGACAACTCCGATGACATTTCCTATAATCGCCAACAGGTGAATTCGCCGAAAAAGTTCACAACTTTAAGCTTTTTGTATATTGCTTTTCAATATAAAGCGGTGGACTGCTGTTATAGTTTACCCCCTTCATGTATGTTTATGCGATAATTTTTGTTGATCTTAGCTATTCTTATTTTGTAGTTTGCTTTGATTTCTGTTGATTTATGGATTTCACGTAAGTTTGGGATTGATGCACAGTTTGAGTCAAAATTATATATTTTAAAGCAAATTGTGTGACTATATGCCAAAAAGTCATCACGATGTTAGTTAAAACTTTGGGTGGATATAGAAGGGTCTAACGATAACCCTCTGTTATTAGGGAGGGGATGATTGCTAATTGCATAAATTCGGTTTGCAAATGGTATGGGTAGCTCCCATATACACAAGTAAGCTAATTGTTGATGTGTGAGATTGTTTCATCTTCTGCGAAGCCCTTGTCAAAGTTTGTGCTTTCCTAAATGAGTTGGTTGCTTGAATTCACAATTTTGTTTTCAGTTATTTAAGGGTTTTTTTCCTCTCTCTGTTTTATATAATCTCTGTTGGTCCAAATTTTGGGATAGTTATGAAACAAGTTAATTGGCATCAATGATTACGAGTTTTAAAGGGCTTAAGTTGATGTTCTTCGAGATTCTTCAGTTTTCAGTGTATCAAACATTTGGGACACCGGACACCCACAGTTACCCGAGAACACCTGTACCATATTGATTATCTATCTGGATAACATATTAGTGGACATGGTTTATTTTCTTATGAAGCACAGAATTTAATGATTTGAGAGAAATGTTTATACTTCTGCTATTAGTTTTCTTCTCCATAAGAAGTTTTTTTTTTTTTGATAAGTATAAGAATAACCTTAAAAACTGAACTGAATCTAGTAAGACTAGTTTGTGAGGAAAAGATATAAGCAAACGTCCTAAGCGCTCATCCATACTCAACTCATGTGGTTACACTAATTTGTTATTGTATAATCAATTCCAATATGACAAATTTACATCAGTTATAGAATACTTCTACATTTTAATAGCATAAGGTATCGCTAGAAAACAAAAAGCCTCAATTTTTTTTTTGTTTAAAAAAAAAAAAAAGAAAAAAAGAAAAAGAAAAAGCCTCAAAGCATTTTAATTATGTAATCCATATTAAACTCTCTATTTTTTTTTTTATTTTTAATTGTTATATGTGTAATCCATATTAACCCATTTTAACCTAACCCAGTGTACCAAATTTTAGAGTGTGTTCCTGTTAAACCTACAAATATGATTGTATTTGATTATCTGTAATTGGAGCATCAGGATAAGGCATGGTGAATTTCTTTCATTATCTCATATAAAGGGATGTAGCACTCCTTTGTCGCTAATCCTTTTCTCTGTGCCTTAAAAGAAACTTGCATGCATGACTTAGCCACAAAAGAGAAAAACAAAGAAAAAAGGATGCACAAATACAACATGCATGGGTGTATGTGACACAAGACAAATTATGGCGTCTTGATATAAAAGCGTTTAATGAAAAAGATTTCATGACTCTACTATAATGGAGTTGTGATCCATGAATTAATATTTTGTTCTGAATATGGATATGCATATTGCCATGAGAGTAACCAGTGTGTTTTTTCAATCTGAGTTAATATGATTGTCACAGGTCGATTTTTGTTTTGTTCTATAAAATCCTTTCTTATGAACTATTCACGTGCTGCTTTATGTTCCAGAAAAATTATACCGTTCTGGAGGGAGAAGATATTTGCAAACGTCAGGAGGATGACATCAGAATAGTTTCTACTGTCCTTTCCATATCAAAAATAGCTGCAAGCATCCTGCTTCGCCACTTCCATTGGTAAACCGTTCATTCCTTTTTGTTCTTCACCTTTAGCTGACATTGGAATTGATGACAACATTATATATATATGTGTGTATATATATCTAAATTGGTCGGTCAGAGTTGATTACGATTTTTTGATGTTGACGTATGTGTACTGAACGTCTGTAAATGTGGAACAAATTTACAAAATTTAGATGTTGCAACATTAGCAGGGTGAATCTCTATGCAATAAGGATGCATACTAGAGTACCATTTTTTGGGTTACTTGATGTCATGATAATATTTGACTAAATAGGAGTGTGAGTAACGTGCATGAGGCATGGTTTGCTGACGAAGATAGAGTTCGCGAGGCTATAGGCTTGTTGGAGAAGCCAGTTCAACTTTTAAACACTAGAGAAGTGAGTTATCTCCAATCTAGAAAGTAATCTTGAAATTCTTAGTCAATATTTATATCCCATTGTGGCTGTGGACTGCATGGTTATTGCGTTCTTATTCATGCTATTCTTGTTCTTGTGCACTTCTTAATTGCATTAAGCTCTTCTTTTGGCAGCTGACTTGTGGCATCTGTTTTGAGGCCTATCCTCTTGATAAGATTAAAACTGCTGCCTGTGCTCATCCTTTTTGTACTGCATGCTGGACAGGTTTGTTTCACTATACCATATTTGGGCTGAATTTATTACTTAGATCTGAGTTACATTTGCTGCTATTAACGTGAACTTATTCCGAAGATAAGTATATCTTTTTGTAAAGGTAAAATTTTCTCCACAACCCTCCCCTTTTAAAACACAATAAATGTCAAAGTGAAACTTTCCAGGATTCTCTTGCAAATCTCTCTACGTCTACCCTTCTCTACTTGAACCCAAGTTCTCTGTGTGTGTGATTTTTTAGGGGAGATGGGTAGTCGAGATTGGTGATGTTGGAGATTTAGATGGGTTGGTGATGAAGATAGTGCAGTGTGAGGGTGGGCATTGGTTCAGCAATTGTGGGGGTTTTCGTGTAGAGGGTGTAGATTTGGTGATGATGATGAAAAAAGTACTGGAAGTGGAATGATTGCAGTGTTAACGTTCATCATAGGTAGAGGTGGGGTTGGACTTTGGTTCTAGTGATAGAGGCACTGTTTGGTTTGGTTAGGGGTTGAATATCGTTTCTTTTGTACTTGTCAAAAAAAAAAAAAAAAACTGGCTCTTTTGGGTTGTATTAATGGTGTTTGAAGATAAGAGGTGATTGGTTGAAGTAGAGGTTGGTGTGTTCGGTTTTGTTTGATGATGACTATGATGGTGGTCAATTGTGAAGTGGTTTACAGTAGATTAGAATGACAATTGAGGTACAGGTGGTGGGTGGTGATGGCTTATCTTAGTGTTGGTCCTGGGAATCGAGTTCATTGCTGTGGTTGGGGTTTTGTTGGTGATGGTGTTCGATGAATCTAGTGGTATGGGTGGTGGCGGTGTGGGATGAAGAGAGAAGATTATTGTGGTAAAGTAAGAGTTGCATAGGTGGTAGTGTAGATAGGTCAACAATGAGTCTGTGAGAGGGACAGAATAATTGACGAAGGCCAGATTCCAGTAACACCTTGCTGATTTTTCCCATTGGGACTGCATATACAACCAAGGTTTTCAAAGTTATTCAATAAATATTTTAAATGGGGTTATATCTTATGCCGCATTACATATTTAGGCTTATGGCTTCCTCCTTTTTTATTTTAAAATATGATCAATTGATTAAGTTTTGTGCACTGGTTTCACTTTAGTACATTATATTTTTCTCTGTGTTTATTCTGGTAGGTTACATTAGCACATCCATCAATGATGGCCCTGGATGTTTGACACTGAGATGTCCGGATCCATCTTGTGGTGCTGCTGTTGGACAAGATATGATCAATATGTTGGCATCTGATGAAGATAAGGAGAAGTATTCTCGCTACCTTCTTAGATCATATATTGAAGACAATAGAAAGGTAGATATGAGACTGAATCTTGCCGTTCATGAGTTCACATTATGTCATGTTGTTTCAGTTATCAATATATTTTTATTTAAGAATTGACACATTGGTTGACAATGCCCTTGCTTCAATAAAACCTTAGAAATCGTAATTAGATAATGCATCACCATATACACTTAGAAGAAGAAAACATAAGATGGAACTATTTTAGAGTGAAATTGATTAGACATTTCGACCAGGTCACAAGGGGGTCCCATGTGAAACACCCAGCTTCTTCTTGCTAACAGGTGTTGCATCAATCTCACTTAGACATAGGACTTGCTTGTCTCATGCAATTGAAGAGCTAATTATTTTTTAATCTCACATTATGATATTAGTCTGTTATGTGAGTAAGCCATGAGTTTAAAGATTTAACATTTTAAATACAAATATTTTGGTTAGATATAACTTTTTAAATATAAATAGTTCGGGTTTGGAGCATCCAGATGGCTTAATATTTTCAGGCATGGTTTTTTTATTTTATTTTTTTTTATTTTTAATTTTTTTTTTTTGTTCTTTATTTTTGCTTTTTTCACCCTGTACAATTTTACTTCTGAAACAGAACTCATGTTAATTAGGATATCAAGTTGGTTTATGGTTTGCAGATACATACTTTATGTGCCATGTAAGGGTGACACTTCTTCTCTCACACTGATAAGTATACATGATAACTATTGAAGTTAATGGTGCTTTGGAAAATTTGTTTAGTTGACCAATTCGGCAGTGTAGGTTTCATGTAGATTATTTAAGACAGTACTTTTGCATTGCAGTTTTGTGGCAACCAATGTGGGCTAGTGTGCGTGGGCGGGTGCAAGGCACTGGCAGGCTACCACACTGGGTGAGCTACAGGTGCACAAATCCCACATCGCTTGGGTGTGGAAAGAAGAAGTGCTATATATGTAGGATTTGTACACTCCAAATGGTATGAGGCCTTTTGGGGTAACACCCAAGAAAAAATTTTTGCGGGCTTGGCCTAAAGCGGACAATATCATACTATGTGGTGGAGTGGGTCGTTACAAATAGTATGAGAGTCTGACCAGCTAGAAGTGTGGCCAACGAGGACGTTGGGTCCCTAAGGGGGTGATTGTGGGGACCTATGTGGGTGGGTGTGTGTGGGTGCAAGGCACTGACATGTTACCACATTGTGCGACCTACAGATGCACAACCTCACATGGCTTGGGTGTGGAAAGGGGAAGTGCTACATATGTAGGATTTGTACACTCCAAATGGTATGAGGCCTTTTGGGGTAACACCCAAGAACAAAACCGTGCGGGCTCGGGCCCAAAGCAAATAATATCATACCATGTGGTGGAGTGAGTCCTTACAAGTTTGGTCAGGCTCATGTTCCTTATTTTGTAGCCCTTGCATGGGAAAGAGCTGTGTTATCTCGAGAGTTGTAGTGATCTTTTAAATATTTATTCATAAATTCATAGTGAAAAACTTGCTCCTAAAATTTTCTCATGGTATATTACCAAACCTTTTGTTCCATACCTTTCCTATTTTTATTTTCAATTATTTGTTCTTTTGACCCTAGGGTAGGTACTCTTTATGAATAAATCCTAGAATTGAGTTGCATGCTTTCTGAGTCTACAATATGCTCTTATTCTCCTAAATGTCTTTTGAAGTATGTGGATTGTGACTTAAACTAGCCTTCCATAATTATTTTTATGCTTGTTTTCTTTGCCACAACAAATGATTCTGTATTTATATTTTGTTTTGCGTTGTCTACCCTTATTATTTTCTTTTTTTGTGCTTGTTGGGTGGTAGACCAAGTGGTGTCCAGCCCCAGGCTGCGAGTATGCCATTGAATTTGTTGTTGGCAGTGGAAGCTATGATGTCATTTGTCGTTGCTCATATGGCTTCTGTTGGAATGTAAGTGTTTTGACTATTTTTAAAAATTGTTTGAAAATTAGTAGTTATAAAATCACTATTTTCTGTTCATTTGATCATTAAGCTTATTAGTTATTATCGTGTGAGCTGAAATTGCAGTGTACAGAGGAAGCTCATCGCCCGGTGGATTGTGGTACTGTGGGCAAGTGGATTATGAAAAACAGCGCTGAGTCTGAAAATATGAATTGGTAGAGTATAAATATATTGCAGCATCTATAATAGTCAGAATCTTTCTTGCTTACAAAAAAAAAAAAAAAAAAAAAAAAAAAAAAAAGGAACAAATAAAGGAAGAAGCGTATAATATATTGCACGGTAAATGATTGTGTATTGACATTTCTTTTGGGGTTTTCTGTTGCTATAGTTATTGCTGAGAAATATGGTTCTAAGCAGTGCATTTAGTTAAGAAACTTTTCCACTATTTTTCTGGCTTGATTCCTGAACTACATAATGCATTGCCTTTTCAATGATTTGTTAATGTTAAGTGTCTAATTTTCCACTCTTCATTTGAATTTTGAAGTGATATGCATGTTTCTTTTTTGTATTTCATGAGGTGTTAAAGAAGGTGTTCCTTTTCTTTTATTATATGGATGTCTTACATTCTCTGCACAATGGTAATTGTTGATATGATATGATTCAGGATACTAGCTAATTCCAAGCCTTGTCCAAAGTGCAAGCGACCAATTGAGAAAAACCAAGGTTGTATGCACATTACATGCACGCCACCTTGCAAATTTGAGTTTTGCTGGTAAGTGTTGATTTCTGTGTTTTATATTTAAATTACCTGCAGGTTTAATTTTTCTGTTGACTATGTTCATTGGGAACTCGTCTGTTTTGTGTATGCATGCGCGTGTGTCTGTGTTTCCTTCTACTTTATCATTGTTTTGTGAAAATTTTGTGCCCTAAAGTGCATTGTCATTGAATAAGTGGTACTGTTGTGTCCTTCCTCATGCCATTTCTGTTTTGTCTATACCTGCAGGCTATGCCTTGGTGCGTGGTCGGACCATGGTGAAAGGACAGGTGGCTTCTATGCATGTAATCGTTATGAAGCAGCAAAGCAAGAGGGAGCGGTAATGGAACTAATTCAAAATTTCCTAGTCATCTACTCTGTTATATTTGATTATTAGTTTATTACTGTCAGGTTTATGCTTTGATATTATGAATTAATCATGATATACTTTTTTCAAATCTGTTTTGTTGTTTATAGTATGATGAAACTGAGAGGAGGAGGGAGATGGCTAAGAACTCTCTAGAGAGATATACTCATTATTATGAACGGTGGGCAACCAACCAGTCGGTATGCACAAGTTTATCTGATCCACCTCCATTCTCGATTCTTATATTCATGTATTATTTGTGAAATTTGCTGATTTCAGTAAAAAAGACATTACCCAGTGTGACCTTGTTTTTGAGGGTGCTTGGAGGGACGGGTTGTATGCAGACCAAGCCTTTGACACTATTTACACAAAGAATGTCCTTGTATTCGAACTTGAACATGTGTTCTCAAGCAATGACTTTTACGTTTGTTAGATTCAATGTTTGTTCAAAACCTGCTTATTGTCACCATTTTTGGGTTTCATATATAAATTTTTAATATAAATGGTATCAAATTTTGGTAATAATAACTTTGGTTTAATGTATTAATTTCTACTTCAAATGCTTGCATATGTATTTTTAAATTTATATTAGTGTTCATAATTAATGCTTGTAGTCTATTTTCTCTCCTTTCATTTTATCATTTTATTCTATAGTGATTTCTGCTTTTAACTCTTATATTGTTCAACATAAACACTTCTTAATTAGGAGCTAGGTAGAATTTTGTTCTGTTACTTTCTGTAGCTGTTACTGTTTGATAGGCTTCTACTAGGAGAGTTTGCCTCACTGTATAACCTTTCTGCTTCTGGTGTCAAGCTTTTGTTGGGTAACTATGATTTTGCAGGCAAATGAACTTTTGGATGCCACTATTTAACTGTTCATTTCTATTTTTTGAGAAGTTTTTCATAATTGAATTTCGTTTCCTTAAGTCTTGTAATCAATATAATTACTTGCCCAGAATACCCCTTTTGGATTACTATTGCAGTATTGGTTATCATAACACATGATGGGCACAATTAAGGTTGAAATGTTTTCTTAAAAAATCTGTGGCTGAAATATGGTATTAAGTAAGGTCGAGTTAGTTACCAAGAATGAAAATGTTGTCGGAATATCAAAATTACACAAGTATAATATTTTCGTCTTTGTTATCGTTAAGTTTGCTGTTTTTTCTTCCATTGTTTCAATGGGAAATGGAAAATGACCATATTAGTCAGCCATAGGCATAGGCTATCAAAATCATCACATCCTAAGCCTACTATATTTGAGTGTTAGATTTTCCTTTAGGTATAAGAAATTTGTCTGTCAGTTTCTCTACATTAATCTTGGTTATTGCAATCATATATTCGACCAGAATACATAAAAGTTTGTTTAACATTCCAATTTAGTAACCCTTTAGAATTCATATTTATATACTTGTATTTCATGTGATAAGTTTTCTTCTGTTTTAGGTAGTGTTTTTTATCAGGTGACGCTGCATTCATATTGGAAACTTTGACGCATAATGGATAAGAAAAGAATAATTTTAAAAATATTTTCTAAATTATGTTAATATATTCTTTTAGGTTGGAAGCATGCGTTGGTTAATTTTTTCTTTCTTTCTTTTGTTTGAATACCTAATGAGTACCATTTGCGATGTTTATAAAGAAAATCAAAGATCACTCTTCACAGGCTTTTGCTGGAATAATGATTTGAGCTGCTTGTTTTTTATGTTTCATCTCTGCTAAACATTCTTCTTTTTCCTTTCTAAATTTAATTAGTGTATGTGAAAACATGCTTATAAAAAAAAATGTACGTGCAAACATGAGTTAGTAATTTCATAGAAGTAAATATTTTCTTTGGATTGCTATCTAAAATTTCTGTTTTCTTCTTTGACAGTCAAGGCAAAAAGCTCTAGCGGATTTGCAACAAATGCAAACTGTTCATGTAAGCAAAATTCTACTATGTTTTGCAGTTCTATTGGTTTTCAAAAGGGGGAAAAAAAAAAACCATTCTCTAGGTTGTTGAGTCTTATGACAGATAAGGTAGCTGCCCTGTAAAGAAGTATCTCTGATAATTAGACATCACCAATATTTAGGTTGCATATTTAAGGATTCAAAATATATTATTCTTTAAAATGCATTGTAAATCTATGGAGGACTTCAGATCTTGTGGATAGCACGAGAGCTTACAGATTTTTTTGGTCTTTTGTGCAGTTGTACATGGGTGCACTCCCATTTTGAGCGCTCTTTAATGAAGTCTTATCATTTTTTTTCTTCGTAACATTATGAACTCGATCAATTATATTATATGCATACTCCCTCCAATGCAAAATAAGTGGTCGTTTTTTAAATTCTCACATGCAAGAATGAATTCACACTCAACTGAGAAGTACAATTTACCAAAACTAAGTCTGGAGCTTAAAAGATTTATATTTCTAACTTAATGGATAAATTTTCAAACCGGGTTATTTAGGAAAGATTCAATTTTTATACATTGATTTTCAAAAGGGATGGTTACTTTTGGGACATCTCAAAAAGGAAAGAGGAACACTTTTTTTTTTTTGGGACTGGGAGTATAATATAAACATTTTTTTATTGAATTTGTGGTTCGTTTCAAGAAGTTATTTTAATTGTTATTTAAGAAGTTTTGATGTATTTTGTTAACAACTGCTACCTGGAGAAATAATTCCTCTCTTTCTTTCTTTATTTTCTTTTGGCTTTAAATGTTTTGGAATGGCAACCTTGACTGGTCTCCTTTTCTGGATGCTGAAATTCACCGGGTATGGAACAGTAATACAACTGAATGAAAAAGCTGCTTGAGGATAGTTCTCTAGTGTAGTGGCTGCTTATTTTTATTTTGATGGCAGTGGAACTTACTTTGAAAATATTTACCTCATACAATGTATGCTAGCTGTCAAGTTTTTCATCTTCTTTTTATGATCCGAAATATCATCAGATGGCAGGATCATCTACGGTTTCTTCTTTAGCTTAAATAATCTGCTTTGGTAAGCACTGCTAATCCTGGGTATGGCCCCCCTATAAAGCAATAGGGGACGGTCTATTTTTCTACTATGATTTAATAAACTGACCGTTCAGCTAGCCTTTCAGTTCTTAAGAGATGCATCTCTCCCATCCTCTCTCTCTCTCTTTATATGTAATGTTTTTCTTTATCTTTTCAGCTTGAGAAGCTTAGTGACAAACAGTCTCAACCGGAGTCACAGCTAAAGTTCATTACGGAGGCCTGGTTACAGGTAAGATTAGATTTTGTTGCTTTAAATTCAAAAATGTTAATCTGTTCTATTGTTAGAATAAAGAAAAATGAATTTGAAAAATCTCAACTTTGGAAAATTAAAATTGTCTATATGAACTAGTGTACTTGCTTTTAACTTGGGAACTAATTTTAGTTTGTCAAAATATTTAGGGATGATGTAATATATGGGTCATCAACTAGTGTCCTTGCTTTTAGTTTCTTTGATGACTTGAGGCAATTAAGGGCTCATGTTTTTCCCCATATGTGATGAGATTTGAATTTATGATTGTGGCGGTTGTAACATGTACGTTTACACACAAGCTCTCTCTCTCTCTCCCCTTCTTCTTCCTGAGAAGTTTGGCGGGTGTGGGTGGCACTGACTTTTACCAGATAGGAAGCACAAGCTTGAAACTATGAAATGATTAAAAGATCTACATATCAAGTTCATATAAGATACATTCCCTGTCCTCATTTTTGGACAGTTTTTCTCATGGATAGTCCAAATCCCTGTGTTTGTGCTGAATCATACACTGATTCATGGCTGAAGGTCCAAAGTGATATTCTCAAGATTAAATGCACTGCTATGTTACATGGGCTCTTCAAAAGTAGTGAAATACCTGTGTCGGACACCTATTGCTCGGACATGGGTATGGGATACGTGTTTGTGTCTGACTCTTTTGGTTGGTCATGTACTTAAAAAACATATCCAATCATTCAATTATATTATATTATTACTTTAAAATGAATTAAATGCCTATATTGAACATTTTATTAGATAAAAAAATTACTTTACTCTAGAAAATAAAATAATTAATAAAATAAATATTTAGTCGTGTCTGTGTATCCTTCTATTTGGAGATTTGATACGTCTGACACACGGATACATACCTGTGTCTGACACAAATACCTGAGTCCATGTAACGTAGATGCACTGTATTCTTTTCCTTTTTTTTCCCCTTCATGAAGTTAAAATTTTAACAGGGGGCAGAAAGACATATCACTTGTTTAAAGCAGGTGGAATTAACTCTATGCCAAACATATTTAACGGGGGGCAGACATATCACTTGTTTAAAGCTGGTGGAACTAACTCTATGCAAATCATAAATCGCTGATACACCCAGGCCAAAATCTATTTTGGATAGCCAACAAGGCAACCACCATTCAACTTAAAAGCTCTTGGAAGTTCAAGTCCTGTGTTTTTTCACTGAGAATTTATTCATTGAGATTTAGAAATAATTTTATATCTTTTATCAATTTGAAAAATGATTGAACTACTACTACTTCACGGACTGTTGACTAAAGAACTGTAAACTGGATTTTAGGTCATGCGTATCAAGAGATTATCCCTACTCTATATAGGTAATGCATACTATTCTGGGTATCTAAAATCACTCAATGCTGGTATTGCATACTTGAATTAGAAGTTAAAGCTGATAAAGCATTCCCGGTAAAAAGATTGACGGTGGGCTGGAGTTTTATGTACTTTTTAGGTGTATGGAGAAGTTGTATACTTTGATTTATATGTCCCTATAATGTTCTGGATAACAATGACTTTAAAATTCGCCACTTCAATCTTTTACTTATCTGCACACGGGCATTCATCCGAACTTAAACTCAACTTCAAATCTTTATGATGTGTATGATTAAATCTCAGTAAGATTTTTGCAATAATTCTTAATTCCGTCTTTGGTGGAAGTGACAAAGTTTTTCCTTGGGTATGGCATTCTGATGTATGTATGTTATGATCCTTGTACATGTCCACAGATTGTTGAATGTAGGCGAGTGTTGAAATGGACCTATGCATATGGGTACTATTTACCTGAGAATGAACAAGCCAAGAGGCAATTCTTTGAGTACTTGCAAGGTATACTTTTCCTCTCAATTTCTATAAAGTACAATACCAGAATTGTTTGTGTTCTTTTCTGTTTACTGTTGTGTATGTCATTTCGTATTTCTGTGCAGGTGAGGCTGAAGCTGGTTTAGAAAGGCTTCATCAATGTGCTGAGAAGGATTTACAAACGTATCTCACTGCTGAAGGCCCTTCAAATGATTTCAATGATTTCCGTACAAAATTAGCTGGATTGACTAGGTAATTTTTCCCAAAAGCTTCCGCAGTAGTGATAAATCCACATAAAACCTGTGTTGTATTGCCTGACGCATCTCTCTCTCTCTCTCTCTCTCTCTCTCTCTCTCTCTTTCTCTCTCTCCAAGTGACTTCCCTCAAAGAGTAACCCCGCTTTGCATTTTCTTACAACTTGTAAATTTTGAACTAAATGTAATTGAAAAGAAAGAAGAGTTGTAGGGAAATGAACTAATAGGAAAAGCCACTCGCCAGGAATCTAATAGAAAATGTAGTTGAAAGATGAAAGTGTTGCTGGACATCTATTTTTTGCACAAAATTTTGTTTTTTGACATATCATCTTCAGAATGTAACTAGTTGTTGCCTATTTTATTGTTCAATATGTTGGCATCCTGTTGATTCCCTCCTCCAACCCTCTCTTTCTATCTCATCCATCCCCCCGCCCCCATCTTCTCCCCTAGAAGGGGGGATAAAAGCCTTTACTTTGCAAAATTTAACTGGAACCCACATTGTTCTCCAAACCCAACATTCAGTCAAAACCTTAACATTGTCACCTTTCAATACTTGGATCCCACCATTGCCATAAATCGTTCCCACAGGCTGTCTTCTACCATGTGAGTCATACCTTAGGACTGTTGTCATCTTATTTCAACCATTACCCTACAATTGTCACGATTGTCATCTATTATATTCTGAACCATCTATGTTGGTGGCTGTGGTGATCAATTTTACTTGCACCAGTCATAACTTCACATGTTCAGCTCAAACTTTCTTGAATTAAAGAATGGCCTTATTGTTATTGTTAAAGAGGGAGAGTTTAATGGAAATGGAAATTAAGAGTGTCTTCAGTAGTAATACTATTTATGGTTGATTATAAATGTGTAGACGCAGGTGCTACTATGTTGACAAAAACATGAGTATCAAGCAGACAAAAACATGAGTATCAAGCTATGTATCTGTAGGGCAGATAGGTTGTAAGAAGAGCTGTGCATTGTGAAGTTGGTCATTTTGTTGTTGATTTTTGGTTGACAAACTGTGAGTCGGTTATTTTAACTTCCAATTCTGTTGTCTAGAATATATTACGAGGACTTGTTTTATCTGGTACTCAAAAAACAAAGAATTGTTGTCCTTAGTCATTTACTTTTGCAACTAATTTTAAAAAAATGTTGTCAAATAGTAAAAGATTCTCAGTAAAAACACTCGATACTCATGCTGTGTGTTCCTAGTAATCAAGTCCATGGAGCTCATGCCCCCTTCAAGTATCATAGAACTCCAGAACAAGCTTTAGATTGTCTATGGTTGTCAGAAAATGTTGGGACACTACTAGGATGAGCAACACCATCTAATGTATTTTAGCTGGAGGTGCTTTCCCAGTTGATTTGTTTTGGGTTTAGCACCAACACTGCAAGGTGAGGGTTTCACGATGCATTCTCACCCCTCCCCCCAAAATAATAAAAGAGTTGGTAATTGCAATATATATATATATATATATATATATATATATATATGTTAAAAATATATATCTATATTTCATTTCCTTTGGCTATTGACAAAGCTGTGGTTTGGTTCTATTAAAGGGTAAAATACACTGATCTCCCTTAATTTTTAGGGAAATTACACTCGGCAAAATTTTTGAAGAAAAGTTGCACTTAACCCCAATTAAAATGGATGTCAAAAATGTGTGTGAAATTACTATTATGCCCAGATTGTTATAATAATAAAATGGATGAAAAATCTGTTCCTGTAAATTGAGATTTTTGCTCACTGGTTATTATAACTATTCTCGTCTCCTCTTCTTCCCTCTCCCCGCTCTCTTTCTCAACCTCCTACCACCACCACCCCCCAACCATGTCCACCTCTTCTCACCACTTTCACCAGCATACCACCTCTCTCCTCTCCATCTTCTGTTTTCTCTTTCTTCTCTCCACCTTTACCACCGCCATCTCCAAGCATGCCCTCTCCCACCAGTTCCACCACTACCGCCTCTCTCCTCTCTCTTCTTCCCTCTCTCCCTTCTCTCTCCATACCCACCTCTTCCACCGCCGCCATCCCTCCCACTGCCACCACCTCCTCCCACCACTGTCACCATCTCCCCCTCTCAAGCCAAGATTACCTACGCTCTTTCTATCTACACACACAGACACACACATATATAGTATGTATATGTCAAAGTTTAAGGTTGTCGTGAGGGAAATCAGGGGGTTTCATTTTCAGTACATGGGTAAATGGGGCTCCCAAATGGGATGATAATCAGCCCAAGAATTATCCCAATTGGCTCCCGCAGAGTAAATATGGGAGGGGAAGGAGCAGTCAAGATCGTTGAGGCATTGGGAGAGGAAATTGTAGAAGCCATTGACAGAAGTGGTGGTGGACAAAGAATGATTCGTCGAGGGAAGTAAGAAAAAGATGGTGTGGTGTGAAAAAGGTGATGGAGATTGATAGAAATTTAAATTGACAGATGTAGAAGAAGAAGAAGAAGAAGAAGACGAAATGTAAACACTTTACCGAATATAGCTTCAGACTCAGGTTTTCTATATGATGGAAAGAATTATGTTTGGCGTAATTATGGGTGCTTCCTTTAGAGTGAAAGGGATTATCGAGAATTTGCCATTAACATTGTTTAATGGTTAGCAACGTGGAATATGAAAATGCGGTGTGTGGTAATTTCATATCATTTTAAGGGTTATTAGGTCATTTGAGAGGGGTTGATGGGTATTTTGGTCAATACATTCAATAGTGTGACAGGACAAGCTGCAATTTGGACAACAAACGGCATGGTGTAGTTGTTTCATTTTTTTTTATGCCAAGTATAATTCTCTAACCTCAAGGGGATTCTTGGTGTATTTTAGCCTATATTAAATGTTTATGCCTCAGGGATTATGGAGGCTTTGGTTTCTCCCTCTCCCTTCTACTGTACCTTTCTTCCTTTTATTTCTTATTTATGTTGAGTCCCTTTTTCCCTTTACCCTGGTGATTGAAAACTTGATGTTTCTTCTAAGGTTGCATATTTGTTAGTCAGTCACTTTAAGAGCTTGATTTAGTTATTTGAGCAATTGTGAATTTCCATTTACATTCATCATGTTTATTGGTTATTGGAGCTCTTGATATACTTACTTTCTTTCAAGTGATTACCGTCACACAGCTTGTAGTCTGTTTTATCAGAAAATGCCAGAACTTTTCCTGATTGAATTATGCTGTATTTGCAATTGTAACAGTGTGACTCGAAATTACTTCGAGAACTTGGTTAGAGCATTAGAGAATGGTCTATCGGATGTGGATTCCCAAGGGGCTTGCAGCAAGACAATAAACTCAAAAAGCATAGGAGGGGGTGGCAAGGGGAAAGGTGGGAGGGGAAAGGGAGCTTATTCTCGGTCCAGTGGGCCAAGCAGAAATTCGGATTCAGATGGTTGGTCATGCGATCAATGTACTTTTATGAATGCCAGGTCTGCAACCACATGCCAGATATGTCACCAGCGACGATGAAATAATACCACAAAACCGGTGGGTCTCACTTGGAGAGTATACTTGTGGAAGGAAGGAAGAAAGAAGAAAAGGCAAGTTTGAGAAGGCATTCCTGGGCATAAAAGGTTTGCTGGCTTGATCCTTTTGACTGAGGTTGTTAATTGAATGAAATGGAAGGGAAAAAGAATGACGAAAAATGAGAAAATAGCATCCACATTTGTTTTTCTTGTGTGTGTTAGAAGTACCATGTAATGTTCTCGTGTATATAGTTTCTATCCATAATCAATCAAGTTACTTAACAAGGTTCCTGGACTTGTTTATGTTACCTGATTTATGTATGTAACACAGTGCAAAGGAAAATGCACATCTATTTGTTCCTAGTCTTTGTAGAATGTATAATGAAAGACATTTTCCAACAACAGTCTTTGCAGATATTGATAAAATGACAAAGGATGACTTTTCATTAAGCATTATGAGGAGAGGTTTACAAGTTACTATTGATGTTACTGAGGCAGGCAGGCATGCCAATCTCTGAAAGTCAAAAAGGTCATTTGCTTGCCTTTTGGCTAGTTGTTGAATATTTATTTATTTAATTTCTTCAACACAAGTCAATCATATGTTTAGTTTTGAATTATCAATAAAAACCTTTTCGCGGTGGGATGGTGCCTCTGGTGAACTTTGAAGTGTCAGTCTGTATTTATTAATCTAATTTCTAACGCTTCTTGTCTTGAGTATAAGATTTTCAAAGGTATAAAAGGCTTTACGTGTTTTGTAATGATGTGAAACTTAGTTGAGGAACAGTAACCTCATTGTCTTCAAATCCGTCGAGGGACATTATCCTAAATTTGTAATTACATTCAAGTAATTTGATCACTAGTAATTTTTCTTTAAACCATCTTTATTTTAAATATTCTAGATTGTCATTTTTGTCGAGGATTAATCTTCTGATTCTGTATATTAATTATGTAACAAAATTTATTAAATAAATATAAGGCAATATAGGACTAATGACATTTCTTGGGTGCAGACGAATTTGATGCTTATAACTTGTGGCAATATTTTGATATGGACTGAAGCAGGATACGTAGAACTGTACCCATGGTAATACCTATAAGCATGTCACGATGTCACAAAGATACAGAGAGATTAAGTGAAACATCTTCACTAACATAATCATTTTGAATCCAATAAAAATAAAAATAAAAATAAACAAAAAATGGAATTCCTGTTTGTTTTTTTCCCTTAGAGTTAGACAATTTAGGTTTAGACCAGCTTCTCTCTTTGGCAAACTTACTCTTACTTACCTACTTAAAAGCTGGACAATTTTCATCCGCTCATCATCTTGAGAGGTAATTAGTCATCAACCTAATTTAATGAGGTTGCACCTCTCTCCCTCCTCCAATTCCCAAGTATGTCCCACAAGTTAAGCACATATTGTGTGTGTGTGTGTGTGTGTGTGTGGGTGGGTGGGTGGGTGTCATTGCCTTTTTTTTTTTTTGGAATATTTGATTGTTTTAATTTGCAACAAGAAGAAGAGAGATTGTAAGGAAGCTCATATTTGCATTACCTTATAATGTACATTTAATCTTTCAACTCCAAAGATTTGTCTTTGAACAATTTGAGGCTAAGAGCTTGTAGCATTGCCCTCGAGTACTGCCGAGAAGCCATCTTCCAATCCATGCCGCTTTTCATCATCGCCTTAAACTCTTCGAAGCTGATCTGCCCATCCTGTAAATATCAATACACACACACACACACACACACATATCAAACTACTCAACCATGGGTGTTGATGATGATGTTGGTGAAAGATTGAATGCAGTGAACTAGGAAAAAAAGAAAAAGAAATAAAGATAAATTGCAGTTTAGGATTGAGTGATTACCTTATCTGTGTCAGCATCAAATATGATGTCCTCTATGATCTGGTCATTGTCCGTACCAAGGTTGTCATATAAGAAGGCTTCTCTCAGCTCTTCAACCTCTATGTACCCATTCGCATTCTTGTCGAAGTGGTGAAAAGCTTGATGCAGTTGGTCATCATTGTTGATCCTTCTAAGGTGCACTGACATTGTTAGAAATTCTTCGCAGCTTAGGGTGCCACTTCCATCAACATCCGCCTTGATTTCCAACAAAAAAAAAAAAAAAAAAAAAAAAAAAAAAAAGGGATCATTCATTAATTTATCAGCAAAAGTGAAACTTGTTTCTTTTATGACGTGTTGAGCTTTTCAAAAATGTTACACGGTAGCGATTGTGTTCTCATGCAAGTTCTGTTTTTCAGTGTTTTGTACTAATTAATTAATAATGTTAAAGCCTAGGTAAGTGTCCAATCCACCCCTGCAAACACAAACAATGTAAAAGTTGTAGGATATTGGTTCTCAAGCCTAAAACTCTAATCGAGAAGTTTGAGATAGAAATCCCTCGGCTAGGCTTCTCGGTTAGAGGTTTTGGATTAAATAGCCTAAATAGAATAGAATAAACTCACAGCCTCCATCAACATCTCCACATCTGTATCAGGGACAGGTTGTCCAATCATCTTGAGCCCATCTCTGAGTTCTTCAATAGTAAGTTTCCCATTTTTGTCAGTGTCCATCATATTGAAAATCTTTTTGATTCCAGCTATTTGTTCATCTGGCAAGTTGTCTGCTACAACCTATATATATATATATATATAGATAACAGAAAACTACAATTACTTACTATATGATAGAATTATCGAAAACTCCTACAGGCAAAGACATTTTCATACAAAGGATTAAAATCAGAATTTTAAACCCCCTACTCACTCTGAGGACTTTCTTCTTGAACTTATTCATCAAGGAGAATTGCTTTATTCTTGTTCTGACAATGTCTCCCAAGGGAACAGTTGGGGCTTCATCCGCATTCTGTATCCATCTATGTTCTTCAAATTACATACAATACAACTATTAGAACACTTATTTATATCGCTCACTACTCATGTATGTGTACATATAACAGAGGTACTAACTTCATATCGAGATCACTTCATGAAGAAAACGTGAACAATCACACTCAGTCAGTTACTAGAACTTCGGTGAATGAGAAAAAACTTTGATTAAATCAAATTTGAAAAAAAAAAAAAAAACATGACCAGAAGAAGCATTTGCAGCATCATCCCATTGGGAAAGAACTCAACGCGTTTAAGTTAGAACTTTTTCCCTTGCCAAAATGCTCTACATGTAGTTGCAGTACAACAAAAAGATGTTTTTTAAGGCATTCCTAGGATGACATGACTTCATTTTTTTTTCCCCCGGTAGATGGTACATTTTAGGGTGGTTCTTGGACTGCATTTTTACGTGATCTCAAACGATTGATATGATACAATCTATTGGTATCTCCTCAATCTCCTAAAGTGAAAAGTCGAGATTTCAAATCTGAAGATGTGCTATTTTCGAGGGGGAAAAAAGATACATACCTAGGACTTCTTCAATTGTCATACGGTTGTAAGGATTTGGATCGAGCATGCCCTTTACAAGCTCCTTAGCATCTTCAGAAACCTTCGGCCAAGGATCCCTCTCAAATTTTAGCTTGCTCCGGACAATGCTATGTGCAATTTCTTCTTCAGTTTCTGTGCTAGTTACCACCAAGCCCCCGTGTAAGAAATCACAATGGTATATGACTTGAAACTATAAGACTATCACATTCAATTTAAGTACTACAGTGAGAGTTTTTCCATGAAATCCAAGAAACATATAACTGAAGAAGAGTAATTTAATTACCTGCCCAAAAAGGAGGAACTCCACATAGTAAAATGTACAGAATAACACCTGCACTCCATATATCTATTTCCGGTCCATAGTTACGTTTAAGAACTTCAGGAGCCATGTAATATGGGCTTCCTACAATTTCACTGAAACGCTGACCTACCACCAAATTACGAAGATCACTCACAGTCAGAGCTCATGTAATATGGATGTACATAGTTCACGTAGAAGCAACTCGAAAGGAAACTTCAACGGCATACCAGGCTCAAAAAACATGGAAAGGCCAAAATCAATTGCCTTCAGTGGAGCATTTTCACTAACACTTGCATATAAAAAGTTTTCTGGTTTAAGGTCCCTGTGCATTACTCCATGTTTGTGGCATATCTGCAACATTTATAAATCCCATTTGGATAAAATTAAAATACTAAAGAAATTGTGCTAACAAAAATCAGAGTTGACATCATTAAATTTGATCACATACACTTACCTGATCACATTAGAACAAAGTAAGAAAACGACTTTAAAACAACAAATAAACTTTTGTTGTAAACGCATCTTAAGTTTGTGGCAAGCAACAATGCATAAAATGGAACATCTTTTGTTTCATATGAAGTTAAATTTTGAGTTCTCTTCTGTGCAGTCGCCAATTGAGGTCTGTCTCTTTGATTTCAGCCTATAATGCCATTTTTTTTCCCTTTTGTTTGGTGGGAATGATTGACTGAAATGAACTCATTATCACATGGTACCTATGCATTAATATGAAGTGCTCTTCATTACCAATTATAGGCTACTCCAACAATAACAGATTTAGTCTTTATCCTTTACATAATTTGTCTTATTAGTGCATCTTGAATGCATTGTTCATCACCATTTTATGTCAATTCGAATACATACATACATACATACATACATATATATATATATATTGTGCATATAATTGTAAACATGATCCTCAATTGAGACAAAATCCCTAGCTTTTAAAATTCCATATTTCAAAGACAAATTGATTGATGTTGCATATAAACCACACATGGGAGACCACAACCAAGAATATCTTCACAATACATATTTGCAAGCTGGTCTCTTCAATTTATACATTCTGAAATTTTATCTCCAAAATCCAAATTGAATAGCTCAAATTTTCCAATGCATATATCAATACATATATATATATATGTATGCATCACTTTGATAAACAAAACCATATTATATATATATAATTTTTACTCAAATAACAAGCAAATATAAGAATGTACATTATATAGGAGTAATTGAATACCCATTATTGTAATTAAGAAAGAAAAAAAATGAAATTAATTACCTGGACGACCTGGACAATGGTCTTGAGGATGGTGACAGCAGCTCTCTCGGTGTAATGGCCTCTGTCGACGATGCGATCGAAGAGTTCTCCTCCCTGACAGAGCTCCATCAAAAGATAAACAGCATCTCTGTCCTCGTAGACCTCCTTGTACTTGACAATGTTAGGGTGAGAAGGCAAATGAATCATGATCTCCACCTCTCTCCTCACATCCTGCACATCGACCTCCGTCTTCAGCCGATTCTTCGATATCTTCTTGCACGCTAGGGTTTCCCCTGTTTCTGTGTTCACACATTTGTACGTGATCCCGAACTCTCCCCTCCCCAGCTCCTTCCCAAATTCGTACCGTTTGTAGACGTCATCGCCCGACGGTTCTTTCAAGATGGGTTCTTTCAAGATTGTTAGCTGACGAGAGATTCGGCTCTTTGATCTCTCCGATCGCTGCTGCTGCTGTGTCTCCGAGGCCGAGGAATCGTTACTCTTCTCCGGTAAGGGTTTGGGGCGTTTGGTTCTCTTCAAGAGATATCCCTTGGCCTGAAGAGAGAAGCAGGTACCCATGGGATCAATGGATTGTTCTTTCTATCTCTCATTAATTAACCTCCCATGGCCCAGGAGAGAGAGAAGAATTGTGCAAACCCTAAAAAGGATATGACGATGAGACAGAAACAGAAACATAGAGACGGAGAGACAGAGATGGGAGCCCTAATTTTGAGGAAGGGTGTCTGGTAAAAGAAGCTCCAGAGTTTGAAAAGTAGTTACATGCTTTCTGTTACATTCCCGCCTCTTTTTTAGGCCCTTTGAACGCCGTTATCTTTGACGGCAATTTGCTGACGGCAAAATAACTTAAAGTTATATTTTTTACCGTTACACTACATAATGACCTCTAATGTACTTGAATTTTGTATTTAAATTTCAATAAATCCTAGATAATGTTTATATGGTTCATGTTTATATAATTTCAAAGTGTTTGATCACTTGACTTATGTACTTGAATTTCAATATTGAAGGGGTAGGCCAATTGAAGTTTATTTATGAAGAAATTAAACCTTGTGAAAGCAAAAGAAACCAAGTTGGAATTTTTTTTTTTTTTTTTTTTTGGGTAAATAACCAAGTTGGATCTTAGTTTATGTGAGTGTCCTTTATTTGGTTGTCATGCTAAGGTGTGAAATGATAGCATGCAATGAACATAGGTTGGAATAATTAAACAAGTAAACCCCACTTGACCAAATTGCATGGAGGTTCAATGAATTGTTGTCACCATCATTCAGCTTCTTTTTATTTTGGTGAAGTAGGACCACTCAACCTTTTTTTTTTTTTTTTTGTTAAAAGGGTAAGGACCACTCAACCTTACTTATATACATACCTCTGTTTTTCTCTGACTTTTTTAACTGTACGTCCATCACCCCTTACAATTGAAGTTCACTGAATTTGCTTCTTCCTTGTATATATATATATATATACACAGACCCTTTCCTCTTCAATCCCCAAATCATCTCTCTCTATAGAAAAATGATGGTGCCTAGTTTCACAGAAGAAGTCTACCTATCTTTTGCAATATCAGTAGTTGTGATTTGCTATATTTTCCTGGTGTTCTTGGAGTCTCCATGGAGCAATGGAATTTCTTGGTTGCCTCAAGATTGCTGTTTTCCGTCGTCACAGAGAGAATGGCATCAGGGAGGGGTTGATTCTAAACATATCAACTAAACTATGCAATGCATATATGAAACCACCTATTTATCTTTTTGTGCTGTGTGATCGAAAAGCAGATCATTCTCAATATTGATTACTTTTTATTTCTGTTAACATCTTAGTTTTGATTTAATAAGAAGAGTTCATATTAATTAGTTTATTACCTTGGTATTCACTACTCAAAACCGCCTTTACTTGAAAGAAACTGTTTGTGTATGTTTACTCACATTCTCAGTATGCATGATATCTATATATATATGTATATATATTCTTCACCTCTAGATATACTTGACAACTCCCTCCTACAGCAGGAAAGTGATGTTTTGATTGTAAATATTGAAAAGAATTGATCAAACCCAAATTTCTGAAACATGGTTTCTTAGGAGCTGCGTATTGTGCTTTTTGTGGCCAATGCATAGAAGATCATAATCACATGGTGTTCAATTGTCATTTTCCCTCCAGAATTTGGCTTCATATCAGTGCCAAATGTGGTTATTTTGTGTCATATTCATCTTGGGATTCTTGGATGGAGTGGACTTCAACTTACTTCAAACTGCAGATCCTCTGAGAATTCTGTTCGATTAAGGGATCACCGGTTTTAGAGATATTCCTCCTACTGATAGCAACAGATTTGTTTCCGCGTAAAATATTTTTCTTTTTCAAGAAAAACATATATTTTAAAATTTTTATTTTCCTAAAAATATTTTACTGACATTTTCAACAATCATTGAATTTCAAAGTCCTCTTCTTTTTTATTATGGTCTTCCATGATGTTTTGGAGATTTTCTATCATTGAGCTAAAGCCTTTATTGAATTTCTTTGTCAAGCTAGTTGCTTGGTCTTCAGCCCTTCCTTGCTCTCCATTCCATCTCAATATGCAGACTTTGTGGTGCAGAGAAGTTCATCTAGTTATATGGAATTTTCTGAAGAATTGTCTCCTTACTGTTTGTATTTATAGGAATATATATATATATTTTTTTTAGAGTTTTGATGATGGTCTCTGTATTTTGACTCCCTTTCGTGCCCTCTGTATTTTCATCTGCTTCACCTTTTCCTTTTTACCACAGAGGATGGATGTGAACAAATGACCTCTACCATAATGGTATAACATTTTCATCTTCAAAAGAAGGGTGGGATTCGAGTCCAACAAAAATGTACATAAACAAAATTGTATGTGAGTATTGACCGATTAAAAAAAAAATAACAATATAAGATAAAAGACATCAATCATATAAAGTAATGCTAAACTTGAGGATGTTTTTTCATTTCACACGCCTTCAATCACCCAGAATTCTTAACAATTAGTGATAAATATAGAATCTGTTCAATGAGACACATCAATGTTTAGTGACAGTGGGAGCTTTTATTATTTTCCTCATACAGATGTAAACACTGGACGGTGGACCACACGAGTAAATTTGAAGAAGGTAATAAATGAAAATAATACTAATAAGTGTGATTTTCTAAGTATACAGAGGGAGAATAATTTGCAATAATAGTAGTACAGTAATAAATGAAAATAATAAATAATCATTATATATATATATAACTTGGACAAGCCCTTTATAATAATAATAATAATATTACTACTTTTATAACAATAATGCTACCGAACTAGCAAATGCCACGTACTTATAGAGGGCAGGGCGCGGGAAATTCCATTCAGGTATCTTTTCTGCATAGAAAGGTGCTCTGCAATAAGGCGCTTGGTTCCATGACCCTCTCTTCTTTCTCTCTCTAGGGTTTTGAGTCAGAAACAGGAAACATATATATATATATATATATCCTTCTCTCTCTCTTTCTGAGATCATCTCACAATCAATGTTGCCTAGCTAGTACTTGAAGTTTCTTCTCTCGATCCAATGCCAGCAAATCAAAAGGTAACCTACTTCATATCAATTGTAGAATTGTACTGTCATTCTTAATCATACATTTTCAGTTTTCTTATTGTTTCCTTTCCATCATTTACAAATACGGGTTCTTTATTTTTGAGTTTTATGCTGAAGAGATACCTATATATCAGATCAAAAATAATGAGCTAAGAACCTGTTTGAATTGCTGAATAGTCAATGTTGTGCCCTTTGTTGTTTGATGTATTGATAATTTATGGATTTGGGGACAGTTAATATATAGAATTTGTTGATTCAAGTATGGACAACTGTGGCTAACTAGGGATTTTATGAGCATATTTCTACGAAGTTTGCAAATAAGGCTAATGACCTAATTGTCACTAGGCTGCCGTTAAATTTGCCTTGAAAATTACTAAATTGTGCTCATAGAACAGGAATAATATGCAAATTTGTTATAGTTTCGAAAGTTTTATGCAATCAATCCAAAAGGATGAATTGAGATTTTCAAAAAGTTGCAAATTTTTGACTATTTATTTCTTAATGTTGCCTTGACGGAAGGGTGTCTTGCACTAATAATTTATTACAAGAGGGTGAAATGTAACTTTTTTATAGTTCGGGGGGTTTCATGCAATTAACCCTTCTTTGACTGTGGTGGATTCTTTGTTATTGGTTGGAATTTCTTGGCCTAAGTAGTTGGAGATGCATGGTATGGTTGACCTTCTTCACCTTGTATGTGCAAAATCTTTATGTAGATATGTAGTGTTTGGTTGCATTAGCCACCTCAATTTGATTATGAAATTTTGGCAAATTCATATCTTCCTATCTGAAATTCTGAATTGATATTATAAATTTCGTGGCTACGATCATCTTGTCAGATCTGGTGATGTTTCTATTGGATGACCGACGTTTTCAACTTTGCGTATGCACATGTGGTTGGTCTTTTCTTGTTTAGCAATTAGAACCTTCTTGTTGACCCAATTTATTATCTCCTTGTACATTCTACTTTCTAGTTAATTGGGTAGTTGGTCTTGATACATGCTGTCTTTGAACATTGATGTTACATCCTTTGAAGTGCTGACTTGGTATTGCGAGTCCTCTTGAGTCTTGACAGTTTTCTATTAATTTATTCTTTCTGACTTGAAGTCTTCAATCCGGCATATCTTTTTCATTCTCTTGATATAATATGATCAAGTCATATGTTCAATAATAATGTCCTGTTATTCCAATACTTATGTTGTTTATATTCCTTTTCCATGTCTCATTCTTTGTTCATAACTGTTTGGAATTCTGCTAGGTTGCCGGTATTTATCCGGCATCTCCAAAACTTTCATGTTCTTTTGCTTCTGTCTTCTCTTTCTTGCATTTATTCGGTTAAACCAACGTAACAGTGATTGGGAGTGAAATATCCGGCAGTATGGGACTCAATGGAAGAGATAGCTCTTGCAATTTTGTAAAAGTGGCGGCCTCTTCGTCCGTGGTGAACAAGAAAAAGAAAAATTATTATTCTGATACTAGGGAAGATAAGCTTTGTACACCAAACTCAACTGCTAGTCAAAATGCATCCATCAGATTACGAATTCGTGAGATGGGTCCTTTATGTAAAGCCAGGAAGAAGAAGGCTGCTCAAAATTTAGCCCACTCTAGAAAAGACGATGAAGAAGATGGTGAATTTGCAAAGCAGTTTGGGAAGGAAGGAATATGGCCTGATGATGACAAGTGCATGTGGTTATCTTCAGGTAGTATGTCCCCTTCATCTTGTTTTGATGACTACAGATTCTCCACTTTTTTAGACCTTTCACTTGATGAATGGTTAGTTTCTTTGCTATCAATATCGGCAAATTCTGGCGTATTTTTAGGTAGCACAGTTTCTTTCTATGATGGTTCAAGAGTAAATCCAATAGAAGAGGCATTTTTGCTTCTTGAGAGGACATCGTTTGATGAAGATAGGACTTTGCAAGAAGACTTGAATGAAGAAGAGGTAGTCACTTGGCTGGTGAGTTCAATAGGGAATGACCTAACTGATTCTTCTGTTATGAGTAAGGAGTCCTCTAGCGGCCAGTCCCTTGAATACTTCTCTAGTTGTGATGATTCTTCGTCTCCGTTTAGCACCAATTTTGATTCTCCTTCTCGTATTTGGGATTCTGATAGAACAGATTTTTGGATCTCTTTAGTCAATCTTGACGAGGATGTTGAGTGGATTTCAGATAGAGAGTCAAAGTCGGATCATTTCCAAGCTGATTTTCCTAGTGCGTCTCTCGAGAGCAGTTCGGGTTCTGAAGTTCAATTCTCTAGTTACAGTAATCCTTCACACACTGATATCTACCATGAAAAATCACAATCCATTGCATCATCTGATTGTGTTGTAGATTCTGTGGGTTTTGAAGATCTAGATAGTGATGAACCACTCTTCTGGCCAATGGACGGAGAATCTGATTGGGGTTCGGAGGTGACATGTGATTTCTTGATCATGTCACCTCGTAAGACCAAGCAAAATGTTGGAACTCCTGAGAGGACCTCTTCCAAATCGTTTAGATTAAAACTGCACAATAGAAAGTGGAATTCAGAGGAAGGCTGTAGACGAAGGCTTGTGGTCGGCTCAGGATCAACATCCTCAAAGATACTAGAGTTGAACTGCACAAACGGCAACAAGGACTATAGGAGAGTCAACACCATGCCTTCGAGGTTGAGTAAATGGACAAAAAATTCCATGAAGGTTGTTCCTCTGGACATGGAAGAAGATATCACAGAACCTACAGACAAGAATGTCCTCATTGAGAAGCCAGCAGACAAGTTCAGGAGTTTCTTGGAGGGCGATTTTTCATCGAATGAACAACTTCCAATCGAGAAATTGTTGGGGCTTGATGAATTCGATGGTCAGGAGGGGATAGAGTCGGAATTTAACAAAGATGATTTCTCTCTAGGCAGGTCTCTTTGACAATCCAAGCTTTGTATTATTGTCTTTTATTATGCAGGGATGAGAATGGTCACAGAACTGTTCAAATTTCTGCAGAGATGTTTTTTGTTAACATGGTTGTAAATTTATATTTGTACAACGTTGCAACTCTCTTTTCTGTTCACACAGTTTTCTGCAGCTATATATATATATATATAATGTACATTCTTTTGGTTTCCTATGCCCAAAAGAATGTTTGCAACCCTCCATGCCAATGAATAGAAAATATAATACAGAGAATTCATTCCAATGGATTTTACAATCTCTGATTTTTTTTAAAAAAATAATTATATTAGTCTATCAACATTAATATATAAACTCCAAATGATTCAGTGATTCACAAGATAAACCTCAAACTTAAACTACCTAAATTTAAAAATTGCACAAATTTAAATTTTCAAAGAAAAAATGCATTGTGGTGCAATCGTAATAAAAAAAATTGTAAAAATGCATGCTTTCATTTTTCTGAAAATTATTTTTGAAAATTCGATTATAAAAATGCATGTTTTTATATAATTATTTTTTATTATTTTTATAAACAATTTTCTATTTTTTTGAATTTCACATAAGACTTATAAACCAAACATGCCTGCAAATCCGAAGACCGGTTTTCATGATCAGAGACCGGAAATTCCTGCAGCCAAACAGCAACCTTGAGGCATATAACGCGGACAGATATTTTCACTACCACTTTTTATCATCATCTACGTGGTCAACATTTCATGTGTACTCCCGTTTTACTACACGAGGATTATTATCCCCGAAAACAAATGCCCTTGTCTTTTAAATAGATTTACCGAAACCACACTCCAACAGAACAGCTCAAACCCATTATCTGTAGAAACTAGTGGCATTTTAGGAACTTCATTGTCGCAGTGCAGGTCTGACGACTCTCAGCCGAAACTTCTCTCACACTCTGTGTAGTAGGGTCTCGTTTCGCTTTTGATTTTCTTTTTGACTTAAAATAAACAGTTCAGACCACGATCTCTTTTTCTCCGAAAGTTCACGTTTTGATCTTTGATTTTCGTCTCCTATAAAAGGGATTTTGTTTTTGTTATATTGTATTATGGTTTCAGTTAAATCCTGCTGGATCACTGCCATTGTTTCTGCGGTATGCTTTGTTTTCTTTCTTTTTTTTGGTTCATACGAATTCCTTATTAATTTGTGTAATGGTGTTATTATGTATTTTTGTTTCTGGGTTTTGTTCACGGATGTAATTGAAGATGTGGTTCGGTTTTGTTTTTCTATAACTTTCTAGTTTTTGTGAATTTGGAATCTTTTATTCGATTCTTGATGTTACTGGATTTGTTCTTGGTTGCATTAGAAATAAGGGTTTTTTTGTTTTTCTGTTATTCTCTAGTAGTTCTCAAATTGGTGGGAGTAAGAGGGATTGTTTCAATTTTGTGGACCTCGTTTTATGTTTTTGTCCTGCACAATAGTGAACATATGTTTGATTGTAAAAAGATACATACACTAGGGTGGGGAAGGCTTGGTGGTGTTGCAAGGCAAGTTTTTTTATTTATCCATTTATTAATTGGTTGGGATAGCTTAGATTTTGTTTGTTTGTTCTTTTATAGTTATACATCTTTTACATTGTTTGATTTACTTGGGTTCTGATTTTGGGTGTAATTGAAGTTTGGGTTGATTTATTATTCAATATTAATATTAGTTAATAGTATTGGTGTTGATAGGTTAATCTATTCCAATAACTTGATATCCCCCAAGGATCAGGCTACAATGCGTGCACCATCACTGCTTGCACAATGCTTGCCGGGGCTGGTACCCCAGGACCGAGCAAGTCACAGCATATCCACAATTTCTGAGAGAGATGTGCATCTCCCCACACCAGCTGTCGAGATTCTCCCATCAAAGGTATGTTCCTCTGTGCATGATACTCAGCTTTTGCACTTAAAATGCTCATGGAAGTGCCTCAGAAATATCCCTATTGTAAAACTGTTTGGTGAATACAATGTCGTTGTAGAATTCAAGCTCTCATCGTTTTCATTGGCAGATGGCTCACCCTTATAAGTATGCTGGGGAAAATGTAGACTTGCAAGGAGTCAATGTGTTCAAGGTATTTTAAGTCATAGTCAATTAATTTCTGCTGCTTGGCATGCATATTGTGTTTGTAACATTAGAATCTTTTTTGGAGGCTTGATAGCTACATTAGATTGGAAATTGGCCTAAATGACTACATGGTTGGTCTTTTGGTCCGTGTTCAGTAATAGTGACATGAAGTCATTGTTTGAAGCTATAGGAAATCTTCTGAGACAGTGAAAGAAAATTTCTAAACTTCTATTTCCTTATTGTATATAAATCTTCGTTGAACCATGAAAGCCTTCTTCTATGCTATTCTTTCATTTCTTTTACCTCTTCTCTTTAGAGGAAAGATGATGCGGTAGAATTTGATGCCACTGTTATATGTCAACCTTTAGAGCCATTAAATAATCAAATATTTCATTTTTGGAGTCCATTTTTAATTCATTTGTGCAGTACAAAATTCATGTTGCAGATCTCTTTTGGTCAAACTGATCCGTAATAAAAGCTGTCACTCAGTCACTTATGAACTTAATCTTATGTGAAAAAGGTTTCATTACAAGGCAGCACCAAGAGCCTAGTTTACCAGGAGAGAGAGAGAGAGAGAGAGAGAGAGAGAGAGAGAGAGAGAGAGAGAGAGAGAGAGAGAGAGAGAAGAAGAAGAAGAAGAAGAAGAAACCATCATTAAGTCATGCATCTTCAACAACCGACAGAGCACAAATACAGATCTGTATTCCTCATTTGAAATAAATTGAAACTCAGTTTTTTTTAATGATGTCTAAGTGGCGGATTTTATATACTTATACCTTAACTAACAAACTATAACCATTATTTGGGATGAAGTAATCCAACAAAATAAACCAAAAGAGATCTGCAACATGAATTTTGTACTGCACAAATGAATTAAAAATGGACTCCAAAAATGGATCCCTTTGTGCTCTCTATAGCATAGCTAAAATAATGAACCTTATTAACTTCTAGTTCTTCCTCTTGCAGGGAAGAGTTAGTGTTGCTGATATGATTGGCTTTGCTGGTTCAGAAATGATATCTTTAAAACCTGATGGTAGGTACACGACCTCTCAGTAATCTTTTCAAATAACAGGTTTTCAATCAATTTGCCAGCAATGAAATAGATGAATGTAATTGTTGATTAAACAGTTATAGTCAATCCAAAGATTGGAATAGTTGTCTAGTTGTTTCATTAATTTTTTGTGCTCTTGGAACGAATCTGGTTTTGCTGCAGGATATCTGAAATCTTGGGACAGCTCAATTGATCTTGTGAATGTCCTTAAGCATGAAATTCGTGATGGACAACTGAGCTTCAGAGGCAAAAGGGTACTTGAGGTAAATCAGTTTAAATCTAGCAGAGAATCATGTGTGCTATGATGGCTTAGTTCAATTATGACTTGATTCAGGATATGCCAATCAACCATTTACCTAACGGTCCTAAACTTATCGCTTCAACTACCTAATGGTTTTTAGTTGTTGAATGTTCCTTGCTCATCTTCTTTTCGCTAGGAGTAGGAGTTGAAAATGCACCATGGACACTCAAACCCTTGCCTAGGGTGATTTAGTTCAGTTATGCAATGTTTAAAAGTTGTCTGCAAGTTGTTCTTTTCATTGGCAAGAAACACACACCACTCACACACCCACTTTGCCCCTTTGGGGACTCGAACCCTCAACATCCACTTTGGGAGGTAGAGGAGATACCACTGGGCCACAAGGTCCTTGGTTTGTCTGCAAGTTTACTTGCTCATCTTCTTGTTGATGGCAATAGCAGTTGAAAAATGCACTGTGGACGCTCAAGTCTTTATCTAGAGTGGTTTGTCAAGTTATCTAAATCTGCTACTGAGCCATTTCCCCTTACATTATCACTTAGCTACCTAATGTTTTTCATAGTTAGAAGTTTCTTTGCAAGTCTTATTTTTTTATGGAAATAGAAGATGAAATTTTACATAGTTAATGACTCCCTTCATTTAAAGTTGAGGGTAATCTTCTTGTTTTGTAATTCTTTCAGCTGAGTTGTGGATATGGGCTTCCAGGGATTTTTGCTTGCCTAAAGGTATATTTATTTTCATCTCAGCTTGTTCTTCTTTGAAACTTGGCTTGATTTTAAGTCAATTCTGAACTATCAATAATAAAACCCAATTGTCGGGTTCTATTTTGTCATTACTATAATAGGTAGGAGGTTTGGTCTCTCCTGATTCTAAATGACGTAAAAAGGGTTTTTCTTGTATGTACTCCTATATATTTCACTGAATTTTAGAGATTACCACTTATGTCCGCGAGTTTCCAATGGGTCGAATCATTAAGGTCGAATGATTTTGAATCATCTATTTCATAAATTTCCTCTAGCATCTCTTATTAAGAGTCATTCCATCTTCTTTTTATTATTAAAGGTGGGCCCCTGCTGCTATCTTGTTCCGGTTTGATAATGCAAAAGTAACTTTTACAAAGAGGCTTAGAACACTTGAATTGCAGATATCATCCTTTTTACATACCACACAAATAGAGTAGGTTGACCTGGTTGATAAAGAAATTTTTCTAAACTGATTGGTAAAAGCCTAAACATAATTGTTTTCTGTCATATATTTAGGAAAGACGTGGTGGTAAATCTGTTTCTTTACAAGAAACACTTCTATACAAGTAATAATCTCATTGGCTTCTAAAGTGTATTGAGTTACTAACACTACACTTTCTTATACAAACAAACAGAGGGTTTATGTAGAATTAAAACTTAACAATACGCATAGTCAGTCCATAAAGAAAGGAAGAATCAATACAACTAGAATTTGTGACTCTTAGTGTAATTCATTTGTTAAACCACTTACTAAAAATAAATTAATAATTCCTTTGTTAAACGTACTACAGGGAGCTTCTATGGTGCACTTTCAAGACCTCAATGCAGAAACCATAAGATGCACAACTATCCCTAATGTCCTAGCCAATCTTGAACAGGCTCGTGATCGGCAAAGCCGACAGCTAGAGAGCCCTCTGACTCCATCAAGGCAAACTCTTGCCCCAATGGTGCATTTTTATGCTGGGGACTGGGAAGAACTCCCCACAGTTCTCTCCGTCGTGAGGAATGATGGACTTGAAGTGCCAACAGGTATGAGCCTGAGCTTCTCCGAAGAAGATTTCATGGATGGGTGTAGTAGTCAAGATGGTAGCATAATAGGGCATGAGTCATCCTCAAGGAGATCAAGGAAGCTCTCAGGAAGCCGGGCATGGGAGAGGGCAAGTGAAACAGACCAAGGAGAAGGTGGATATGATGTTATTTTGATGACGGAGATCCCATACTCACTGACTTCTTTGAAGAAGCTCTATGCACTCATAAAGAAGGTTAGTTGGCTTCTTTCTTCACCTTCACTGCAATCTGGTGTGACATGCCATCTTTCTTCACTATAACTTGGCCTCTCTCTCTATCAATGCTATCTATCCATCTTCCTTGTGTATAAGCATCTATAGGTCTTCTTTGTATATGTGTATACCAAAGTCTACTTTCTTTTGTTTTATCAGTAATAGGCATCACTTATAATTTCTCCCTCACACTATAATGTATATCCTCGTGGATATTTGCCTTATACATAGAAGTAGCTTTGTTATTGGTTAACGAGCTTCTTTGGAAGTTGGAATATTGAAAATTTGTTGAATTTTGTCATAGCGCTCATTTTTGTGACTGAACTGTGACATGAATGCAATGAACAAGTAAATACTTTAGGTCCCATCATTCTAACTTTGAAGTGTGTCTCCCTCCGTCTTCCAGTAATCCTGATGGATGATTAAGAGATTTAATTGGCTGATCAAGGTTAATTTAGAATTTTAGATCAAGCAATACTTTTTCAGATTATGGATATTTTTGGTAGGTAGTCAAAATCAAATCTTGAAACTGTTTGATTCCCATTAACTGTGTTCCCAAAAAAAAAAAAAATGCCTTTTCTATCTTGTTTTAGTTGACTGTATAGCTGCAGTAATCGTTATTGAGTTTTTTTTTTTTTTTAATAAAAAAAAATTTTAATGATTGTTTTTCCTTTCTTTTTTACCTTGATCACCAGTGCTTGAGGCCTCCCTATGGAGTGTTATTTTTGGCCACAAAAAAGAATTATGTTGGCTTCAATTGCGCAGCAAGGCAACTGAGGAGTCTGGTGGATGAAGAAGGTATTTTTGGAGCCCATTTAGTCAAAGAGATGACTGATAGAGAGATCTGGAAGTTCTTTATCAAATGAACATAAAACTCACTGAAACACCAAGTAATATTTTGCGAATTTAGGTTTTATTTGTTCAACATAGTGCTAGTTGTACAATATGTTCCGTTACTACTTTTTAGTTGTAATAATGAGTCCATTGAAAAGAAAAGTGGGTGATCTTCAAATTTTGTTGTCATGCTTTTCTTTTCCTCGCCTTTGTAATCAAGTCATGCCTTGTGTAAATTTTTCATTTTATTTCTCCAGAATCTTCCTTACACTGTAAATGCAAAGATTTAGTGGATTTGAAATTTATTTTTGTGTATTTTTTGCTCTACTCAGCATATTATGTAGTGGATTGGCAGCATTTAATGAAGTCAGGTATAAGCTGTATGCTCTTCTTGAAGTTTAAAGAGGTGACAGCGGGTCATGTGCATAGTGGCATAAAGATGGATTTGTGCGTATACAAACCAATACACCAAAACTGAATATGGGTTTTGTTCTTGTGGAATTAAGGATGGAAATAATTAGTAGGTTATCAATCCTTTTTCTTCTTAGTGGACATAAAACTGGAGGATCAATGCAAAATCCAGAAGCAAAACTTCTGTTTTAAATATGCTCTTCTATGACCGAGGTATATTTAATACCCTATATTTCATAGCCACTCTTTTTACAGAAAGTTCGACATATTGGGACACCCTAAAAAAGTCGAACGAAACAATGAGTCCACGGTATAACCTGGGGACTACTGCATATGGTGCATTGACAATGAGAAAAGTATTATATAACCAATGGAAAGATTTGAACTGAAGGGCAGTTGCTCGATGCAAATTATATCAATGGTTAAATCAGTACCCATTTTTCAACTATTATTAGTGGTCACACTGTGCAATGACCAATTGACCATTACTCTATGGTAGAACATGGCTTCACTGTAATTAATTCTACAAAATATGAAAGTAACAAACATTAGCTCTAAGAAGGAAAAAATCAGTCTGGCTTTTACATTAAAAAATATAGAAGCATATCTTGTAAATTTGAATTCACACTTCAAAAAGTAAATGGAAGAAACTACACAACAACACTAGCTTCAACGGGGCAACCTTCAACTATGAATTTCCCTGATGGCTTTGATTTACTGTTAATCTCCTCCAAACCATCTTCCCGCAATGCATTACGGTTAGAATTGCCGTAAAATAGAGGAGAGGAATCCCGATAATGCAACCCCCAGATGCAAGATTTATCAGCGTCTGCAAACAAAAAACAAAAATAAATTGGAGCAAAAAAAAAAAAAAAAAATTTTGCTTCTTTTAGCGTAAGGAAAACATTTATCTTTGCTTCAATTTTGGTCAATCTACTTGCCTTTTCAATTCTTTCTTTCAACTTCTCTTTTTCCCTTAGATAAGTGAATCTTCCATTCTATATAACATTAGACGATGAAAATACTGACACACTCGAAAGTTCAAACAATAACGACAAATGAAAGCTTTCCACTTCACAGCAAACAAAATTTTCCCAACTGAGGTGCATATTTTCAATTTGACGAATATAATATAACCAGACAACGACAGAATTATGTGCATCAGCATCTTGAATGTTTACTTTTGAGAGAGAGAGAGAGAGCAATACCTGAAAACATTTTGTCTGACTAATCAATGGACATTCTCCAAAACATATTACTAAGACAAATTACTTCCCCTCAAGTCTAACTTGTGTGAAAATACAAAAATCACTCGAGCTGAAGCCAGAAAAGTAGAATTTGAGGACTATTTAAACGTGATTGCAAAGACAAACAGTTTCTGGACCATAGAATTACCGATAGAACATTTTAGCACCAAATCCTCCACAGCTATATATGCTTCTTCAATAATCTACTTTCAAGGTTTAATATGTCTGATGGTTGGAATCACTATGGTTTTGATGATATGCATCATCTGAATAACCAGTTGCATGCTAAAATTTTAATATGCAATAATTACAAGAGAACTGGAATCAATATATAGAAGATAGAGGCATTTACCAACATTCCAGCACCTAGGTGAACTATGGGAACAAAGAACTGGTCGACCTTGTTCGCTTCTGCATAACCATTGAATGCAATGACCATCGAGAACGTGTGGATTGTAACAAATGCCAGAGCAATAATCGCTGCAGTTTAGAAGACAACTACAGTCAAATGATTCACATGAAGAACTCCAAAACTCAATGTCAATTAGATGATATAAACCAGCAAATACTATAAGAAGCGACTATCAAAGTGAACATGGAGTTTTAGAAAACTCCATTTTTTAAATCCCATATTACACCGCAACACACAGATACGGAACAAATGGTTGGTTTAAATAATAAGAACAATGATATAAATTTAGGTCATGTAAAACTAGTGGTAGTATGAAGAACTTCTCACCGGAAACAAGAAAAAAGGGTATTTGTGAGCACTTGTCCACATAAAATGTCGCTGGGCCAAATGCAGGTGTTAAGAGGCTGAGACAAAAAAACACAGCATGGGCCACACCATGACCCAAACCACCAGCTGCACGCAATTGATTTAAAATGAATCAAATTAGCAAAGGAATAAAGCGAGACAGACAGGAGAATGGGAGTGTTCATCATGCCATCTTTTGTAAACAAACAAATTGTTTAATTCCTCATAAATTAAAGATATCAGAAAGAACCGAGAGAAATAAGGAGGCAGAGAAAGCAAGACACACAGGAGAATGAGAGTGTTCTTCGCTCAACTCTCTCTTTCTTTCTTTGTGTGTGTCACGGAGAAAGAGATCCAAGGCTAAAACTAAAGCAGCCAATCCTTGCTGTTGGGAGTTGAACCCGTGACTTACAGTTGGAACTCTCTCTCTCTCTCTCTCTCTCTCTCTCTCACGCACAGAGAGAGAGAGAGAGAGAGAGAAGGGCTGCTTTTTGAATGAGAAAACCATGTAAGCTTACTTTTGAATCTGATGCATGCACCTTTAGTTTGTCAAGGATCTAACAATAGATGAAATAGGGTTTAGATATACAATAATAATAAACGTATTTAGAGGGATTGAATAATTAAAGGATCTGTTAGGTATCGGATATACAATGTTGGGATTCGGACTCTTATTGGGTTTATCAAATCAGCACCACCTCATACATGAGTCATCATATTGGATTTGAATCAAAATATGATCAGTTTGCATCCAACAACTCTTTTTCTGCCTCTTATTCTGCGATTAGAATGTTTTGAAGGCATGTAGTGCCTCCATCCCTATTTACAGCCACTGTGAAAGATAATTAACACGGACTTAGACACTCTTTGAAACTCAATCAAGAAAAAAAATTCCAACTACTTAGGGTTGGCTATATGGATTGTATGTTCCATCCTATTATATCCAAGGCTATAACTTTAGCCAGGTCACATGTTATCAAATCTTTCCTTACTAACTCTAATCATCTTATTTTTGGTCTCCCCCCCCCAGCATTACCAGCAGATCACGTCGCTCTTCCTAACTGGTGCACTTAGTGGTCTTCTCTGCACATATCCAAACCCTCTCAATTGATTTTCTTTCATTTCTTGTTTTGCTATATATCCATCTTGATATTTGTTTTTTCGCCACACTCACTTTATGCATATGTTGTTCCTTAGCTGCTAACATTTATCCTTTTAAGGATGACTGGTCTAATAATTTTTATTGAATTTCTCTTCCAATCTTAGAGAGAGACGCCAATCACAAAATATACTAGATGCTCTCCTCATTTAACCAATCATGCGGCCATCCCTTGATTATATGATTAACATCCTTTCCAATTTCTTCTTCATTGAAAAATAATTAAGGCTGAATAGCAGAAATGTTTTGGTATCTCTGGATCCTCAATCTTTACCACATCCGTCATTGTATATGTTTATGCACATGTATACACTAGTATATGTGTATTTATACATGTATATACAATATCTGTACACAAATATGTACATTTATGACTTTATGTATAGAGAAGAAAAAAAATACACTCAAACACACACCACACATGTATTGGGATGAATGATTAATGTGGCAAGTTGAGAACCATAAGAAAAGTCATATCATCATAAGGTTTTTATATTACAAAAAGCTTGCAAAATCTTATAGTAAATTAAATGGTAAATTCTAGGATTAATGGGAACACAGCAAGCTACTTTGATGAGTTTAAAAGAATATAGTAGCCATTCCAAAGCTTACCAAGAGCAATTTGCATCTTATCTGTCCAAAAGAGGCGCGGCTTTGAGACTTTATCAGCAAAAGCATCCAATATCTCTTCCAGTCGCCTAGACAAAATCCACAATAAGAAAAATGAAGATCACAAATAATAACATCCACCAACAGAATGGTTGTACAATTGTTCAAATGCCAAAACCCCAGGGAAACAATCCCAAATCAACAAGCTCTATGAAATATGAAAAGTGAAAGAGGGTATGCACTTCAATTTTTGACACAAAAAAATCACTATCAAAATGCCAAAGGAGGCTCACATATGTACACATGATGCAAACAATAGACAAGCTCAGTCACCCAAAAGAATAGAGCCTCAACATTCATTATTTAAGACTCAAGAGAAATCCAATATCCCCACCCCCCAGCTCTCTTCCAGTGCGAAAGGAGCATCTGTCTTCTTCGCCAAATGGTTCACCATAAGCACAATGGAGCCTCTTGCTGCAGTGTTTTGCCTCTCCTATTCAGACTAAATTTTCTCCAGCTAGAAAGAGCCTCCTCAGCTAATCTAAACATCACCTAATGCACTCGAAAAATAGAAAAGAGTGCCCATAAAACCTTAGGCATTAAACACTGTAACAACAGAATTTAGAGTTAAAAGTTATATTTAAAAAATAAGATTTAAAAAATAAGATTTCCTTAATCCACGCTAAATTTGCAATTCTTAAACCCATTCAAGTATTGGGTTCAATGAGGGCTCAAACCCATATCTAACCCACTCAAAATCGGGCACCCTATACAAATCCTGATTGATTATATAGGCTTCCCTTTTCTCTATGCAATTGCCACACCACCTTTTCCATTTCCAAATCCTTGCTTAATTTTTTCCTTCATCAAAATATTCTCAATTGACTCCCAAAATCCATCAGCAATGGTTTTTAGCTTAGTTGTATCTCCTCAACTTCTCGAAGTGGAAGGTTGTCAGCATAAGGTGAAGTGGGTATGAATCGAACATTCACATCGACTTATAAAAAATAGGAGAACAATACTGATACAAAAGACAAAACCAAGACAATAACTACAATAAATAACGTACTTGTAAATTCTCCAGAAGACAATGCGAAGCCCCTCTTGGAAACCAACAGAAGTTAGTATAAGAATCCCATATGGCCACCATGCCGTTGTTTGGAGTGGAAGAAAAGCTCTCCACAATCCCGATAGAACAATCAGACTTATCAGCCATACCAATGTACTACATACATCAATCCATACAAACCAATAAGAGCACACACAATAATTAAGCTAAATACCAAATCGAATATGACATATATACACACAAGCACATATAAAATACATATATGTAGGTATATGCATACACATTGAGAGAGAGGCAAAAGACGAAGAAATTACGAGAAATACCTGGAGAGAACGGTGAGAATCAAAAAGGGTTTTTTGGAGATGACGGCAACGAAGAGAGAGAGAGAGGGGCCTAGGGCTAGCAAGGCGTAACCGATCCCTGCTGCCACTGTCATTGCTACGTTTAGACCTAATCAAATACCGTTCTCGTTTTTTTTTTTCATTTTCTGATCATCATCATAGTTATCAAACCGGCCTGGACATCGAACCGGCGAATGGACCGGGTCAATGAAACACTACTTCAACGGTCGGGTCAACTGGTTGAACACAGGCACACAGCAAATATCCAATTTATTTTTCAACCTTATTAAAATTATAGTATATTTTAGATGATCTGATACTAGTTTGATTTTATGTACATCAATACATGTCCCTAAATCAAGTTAATGTATTGAATAGATATAATTTTGGTCCTTCACAATCAGAGAAAAAAATTAAATAAAAAATAACACGACTTGTCAAACATTTTTTTTTTTTTTTTTTTTTGTTTCATCATAAATTCCTCATGCAGAAATTAATGATCTCATGTGGTTGCACTGTGTCTTAATCTTTGCTCAATTTCTCTTTTGGAAAGTTCTATTGCATAAACCATAACTTTGATCACCAATGTTGGTAGCACGACTTTGAATATCACCTTTCTTCTTATATGCAGGTACAAGAGTGTCATTAGCTTGATAATTTGTACATTAAAATGAAATATTAAGTATGGTTTTATTCAAATGTAAATTAAAAATAAAAATAAAATACTGTCTTGAAATTAAGATGGATGCTTTTATTAAATTGAATGTAAACATGAAAGATATAGTCATAAATTGGAAATTACCTAACAAAATTCACCCAATTCACCCAAGTACCAGAAAAATGGTCCCTATAAGAAGAGAAAAGACTCACGTTGATGACCAATGCTATTGACAGACAACACTTAATCAAACTGGAGATATTTGGATTAATAATCAGTAGAAATTCAAAATAGTGTTGCAATAAGTTCGAGTACACACACAGACACACAGAGCGAGAGAGAATTTCCCAAATAGCTGGTTCTGATCTTCTGGGTTCATATTACAATCTTCGGTGAAAAAGTAATAACTACAATGGCTTTACCAAAAGAATCTATCCAACTTCAATTCCATCTCATAAAACACTCTTTGCAACAAAAAAAACTACTCATCTATGATGACATGTGGAGCACCAATTAGAGCCTTTGAGACCAAAAAATTCATTTGCCCATGAGCTTCCACGCAAAAAAAAACCTGTACAACCTCTCGTGAAGCAATTTAATCATAGTTTCTTGTTCAGGCCAGACTTCTTCGGCTTGGACGACGTGCTTGAATTCTCTTTAAATGCTGATGGACAGAAATCACTCACACTGCATATCCCACAGCGGGGCCTGAGAGGAGTGCACACTGTCTGTCCAAATCCCACCTGAGGAAAAAGATGTTTAGCGAAGGGACTTCCACCCGCTTATAGCACATATGCAGAACAACGGCACAGGATTTGAAGAAACAGAAAACACAAGTCTCAAGGATTCGGGGAAAAGAAATAGGTGTGCAATTGTTGCAGTGGTCAATATGAAAGTGCTTTTGTATCATTAGCCCATATCAACAGAGAGCACCAGGTTTTTGTTGCACAATAATAGATACCCCAAGTGAATACTGAATCCTTGTTTTACAGTCAGATTAGTAGCGGTGACCTTTCTGTTCACTTTTTTTTTTCCCCCAACAAGGCCAGCACTTGTCAATTACTATAAGTTCCTTTACAATGCATGATTAATTGCGTGATTCTATAAAACATATCAATTTCTTTATTGTCCATAAGCCAAGCACCAGTTTTTTCTTCTTCTTTTTTCTCCTTTTTTTGGTTGCCTTAAGATCAGCATATTTGCGATACATTTGTTTAAAGGAGAAGTTCAATAAAAGCTACAATGTGATTGACACAAATAATCGGGCACTATATAGCATACAGTCTAGTAAAGATCAGGTATTTGCTATATTTTGATGGACATGAAACAATATATGTTCAGGACAGCAGATGTCCAAAAACTAGCAACAAGGGGAAAAATTAAAAGCATAGCTACATAACAGCAAGCATTATAACTAAAGATAGTGAGCATCTTAAACTGGCGACATGGTAGAATGAGATCCCAATATCCAACAAAATAAATGTATTTACATAAAGCAAGCAAATATGGAGCTATGCATATCGGAAAGAATGAGGTGCACATACCAAAAGAGGGTTAATTGGAACCCATTCTTCCTTCGGAAGCCATAGTTGCAAGGACTTTCTAGTCTCCTCAGGAGATAAAGTTTTCTAACAAATGCAGAAGTGTAAGTTAGCAATGCAGGACAGTCATAAATCAATTTATAGCATTGTGTTTTATATAAGTGTGAAGGAGAACATAGTGTTAATGCTAAATGAGTCATACATTTTGACAACACTAGCTTAAGATAAGGTGATAATGAAGTTTAAAAATTATCCTGCATTCTTATCAATTATATACACACACACACACACAAATGTTACACTGCATTTTCATTTCAGCGATGAGCCAACTGAAAAAGGGTCACGACTTTAACGAGTACTGAACTCAACACAAATTAGATAACTCAAGACCGAGAAATGACGATGAGTATATAAATATTAGTATCGGCAAGTAGGTTAATATCACAAGTCAGGAAACATACATGCACAAATATAGATTTGTGGAAAGCAAAAAATAGAGAAATTTATTCTTGCAATATCTAAGCTTCTTTTTCCTTTTCTCCCTTTCCCAATTAAAGATGGAAATGCCTTAAAAGGAGCAAAGAACAGACCCCTATAATGGCATAAAGATGAGTGATAAAGTAACATTGTCAGATCCCTATAATGGCACAAGGATGAGTGATAAAGTAACATTGCAAGCCCCGTTGACTCATTTAAACTATTTCAATGCTTCTTTCTAATTAGAGCTGATAAAGCTGATAATAATCCTGTCAAATCCAGACTCAATCTTCAAGCAAACCCTATTAGTCTCATACCCATACTGATATATAGACTGCAAAGATAAAAACATGATTGATATATTTGATGTCATCTCATAATTAGAAAACTGTCTACCTGTTTTGTGCCTATCCGGGACACCCATCCAAGCCGATTACAAATACGGTGCACATGAGTATCTACACATATCCCTTGAACATTGTTCCACCCCACATTCATAACCTACACAAGCAGAAACAGCCAAAAACTTTTAAAGCAACCAAGCCAATAACTTAATTGTAAGAATTAACAGTATTCAGCTTACCAGATGAGCCATCTTGGGACCGATGCCTGGAAGTAGGAGTAACTCCTCCAATGTACTAGGAATGTCTCCATTGTACTTCACGAGACAAATTTTTGCAATTTTCTTCATGTTGACAGCCTTTTTTGGGTAAAATCCAACCTAATAAAATAAAAGTTGAATTTTTTTCCAAAAGCACTCAACTCATGTAATCCCATTGGAAGAAACAGTAAGATCGCTTTAATATTAAGTTCTTCTGTTAGACTAAGTTTCACCGTTAGTTTGTCTCAGGGTTTCAACTTATCCAGGTCAAATTGGAAACTTTACACAATGCCATCAAGTGACTTCAGAAGAAAAAAAAAACATACTGGGTAAATCAAGCTCTTGATGGTGGCTTCATCAGCCTTGTCAATCGCATCCGCAGTGAGAAGACCATTTTCAAGGAGACGCTGAATAGCTCCTGCATTTTTAAAAAGACCTCAATGAATAATAATTGGAGGACATTTTTCACGTGCAACACCATGAAGCCAACTAAATTTCTCAAGCAATATTCTTGATACAACTCTACAAACCACATAACTAAAATAACATTAAAATAATAAGAAAGGAAAGATTTGATCACTTGGATGGTACACCTAAAATTACTTCAAAGGAGATTAGCCTCCTAGAGACCAACTTTATTCTACTCAACTCAACACAGCCTCTTTCCCAACTACTTAGGGTTGGCTACATGGTCCTATTTTCCCACTCCTCTCTAAGGCAGTTTGAGAAACCAACTTTGCTCGCCTCTACAAAAATGATTTACAACTTACAATTGTATATATATATAGACTTCTCATAACCTAATGTCTTAAAACAAATGAAAGTCCAATTTTCTTAAACCAAAATACCAACCCTTGAAGGAAAAGCAAACAAATCCTAGATAGTCTAATTATTAAACGAGTATAATAAATAAAATAAAATAAAAAACTAGACTAATTTGGGTTACAACTTACAACATCTTCAATGCTAATTTTAGTGTGTTGCATTTATTTATAGTAATCTTCATGATTTTATACCTTGGTGTCATTTGTTAACTTGATTCACACTCAACTTTTTCAGTAGATTCTATAGTAAATGCTTTTGATAATACTTAAACAGGTATTCCTTTTAAAAGGTTTTTAAGCCAAAGAGATCTTACCCAACATTGAATATTGAATGAGCTATGTAAAAGATAGTGTTCAAATTTAATCTGAATTTACAAGTTTACACTTAAATTTTCAGTTCTACAAATTCAACTGCTTAAAGTCAAAACAGCAACTTTTTGGTAATTAATTTCAATTTTATCAAACAGCACATGCATTTTAACAAATGTGCAATGCTTTCCCCTACGTTCTTAATTTATCCTTATTTTTATTTTTATTTTCATTTTTTTGAGAATGCCAACCCACATAAAAATATTTTACAATTGATACGGAGATATAGTGTCCATTTGCAGCAAAAATTGCGAAGTAGCAAATTACCAGGGGAAAAAAATTGTGAAGTAGCCACCATGGATTGGATGGAACCACATCTTTTTAGGTTATTCCAAACAATAACTTGCCAAAACTAGAATCAGGTAAAGCATCTAGAAGAAAGCAACTCCTAATTTCAATCATTAGGTTAAATATAACGACAAGAGGTTTATTAACTTCACCATGCACACAGTGCACCAGATATCCAATACTCCATTACATATCATAGCTAGAACCTGCAATGTCTTATAGTTTTTTGAGTCCATATAAAGAAGAATTGGATAATGAAACATAAGAACATCTGTTTTCATAGACTAATAATTGATAGGATTTGAACTTGCCATGGGTAACATTATCCTTGGTTTGGCTTGATAGAAGCGAAGATACCAAGACAGCAAATCTTCTTTCCTGATAACAAATTACGTATAAATGACTAGTAAATTGTCAGCACCACGCTTCATGCAGATGTAAAGAACATACATTCATGCAAAACCCAACGTCCTTTTAAAAGTAGGATCTCTTCTGATCCAGAAAAGACGGCAATGCTTATAAAATAGTCAAAAATAATTAGCTTGATTGCTCAGTTCAAGCTAACCCACACATCTCCAGTCTGAAAAGAATATTACCTTAGGGGGAAGAGAAGTACCAGCTTTCTCACATCCCATAGAATCTACCGGTGCATCTTCAGAAGATCTCATTTTGTGAATCCCTTCAAGGACCTTTTCCCAATTGGCAGGTGGTTTGGCTGTACCAGAAAAAATGAAACTTAGGCTTTCTCTAAGTCCTGGATAGGAATCCATCCATGTAAAAAAGGTTAAACAAAAAACGTGCCTCTACTTTCCATGAAAGGACTAATCGCTTTAAAATAAGAATTAAGGAAAAACTACTCCCCCTGCCCATAGCATTCAGGATTCAAAGGGAATAATTGGAACTCGTCAACCAGTAGATACAACTAAAGAAGTCCCCAAGACTCCTGGCATTAAGATGGTTTACAGATAGATTGGACTTATACTGACAGTAGGCCGAAATTATATTCCATCACCAACAGAATAATACTATTAGATGCTTCTCAAAAGTTGAAAATGAATTGGTACTGGGTTTGGGAGTTCCCTAGTCTTTGTTATTGCGAAGCCAATTGCAAACATGCCAAGGTGCAGGAAGAGGCATCTTCTTCTTGTATCACACAGCGAAAGCATTAAGAACCATCCATTCAGGCTTCCACATAATGAGATCTTGACCAATTGGTTTCTCCTTGTTCTTTTCCACTGCCACCTTCACCATAGAGATGGATGGGGCAGAACATCTGCTATTCTTAGTCATTAGCGGCTGCTCTTTGGATATTGTGCTATATTACTCATAAAAGGATTTTATTTTTGGAGTATGTCAAATGTAAGTTGTGTTATTAAAACTGTTTTATGTTGAATTTCTCTAAATGTGTTTCCTGTCATAAAAGCACTGTAATGTTTTCCATTCAATTCAAAATTCCCATAAACCTAGTTTTATTTAATTATCGAAATTGTCAGAAGTATGAGTTATATTACTGTAAACCCAGGGTTATTTGCCACCCAGGAAAAAAAAAAAACTGCAAATATGCTCTCTGTCATTCTACCAGCATTTGGAGAAGAAAAAAAATATTTGATGTGGATGACCCAGGCTCTTGCTTGGGGTTAGATTCAGCCAAGAACCTGTGACCAGAAGATACATTCTATAAACAGAATTTTAAAAAATAAATAAATAAATGTTTAAACTTAGCTACATAAGGTTATTGCTCCAGCCCAGCTGATTGAGTTACTGCTCATTTTCTATAATCAATCCTCAGTGGCAGTATACACTAATTAGAATGAACTTTCCAATCTTGTTTCTCGTACTTTCTCTAGTTCAAAATAACAATATCCTCCACCTCCATATACCTGTTGGCATGGTAGGAGACGTAGTTTTGCTTTTCTTTGAAGGCACATCAGAGATAGATATTGAATTATCTGCAGATCAATAAGCAATAGAGGGTGGAGAGGAAGAGAGAGAACATTAGAAGAAGCAACAATTAACAGGATTGCAAGTAATAATAAATAGATTGTTGTTGTGTGTGCATCAAGGAGAGTGTCTGTGTGCATATGTAAAGTCCTATCGATGCACATCATGAAATCATCACTTGACATTAAAATTTTAAGGAAAAAATATATTAAAAAAAAAAAAAATAAAGTTTCCCTGCCAGCTAAAGATGTCCACTACTCCATTGTATCTCAATACATTTATATGGATTTATGATCTCTGCTTTCTTTTTCTCAATGTACACAATACCTTTTCATCTCAATGTACACAATACACTTAGCAGATGATATAAGTAAATAAAGTTACACCATCGCTAACATATTGAACTTTTAGAGTAGATGGCGTCTGGTATCAAAGCAGGCAAGGTTTTAGATTCCAACCTCACTGTCATTATAATTGATGCAAGTGTCAGCCTACTCATGATGAAGAGTAGCTGGTAGTGGTCTCTTACTTGACACAGTATTCCAATAATTTAAGATGGAACATAAATACAATTCCAGATCCCGACATGTGGTGGACACTTTATCTTTTTTCTTTTGGGTTAAGGTAGGGTGTAGGACTAATCCATACATACACATGCAAACTACATGCATCGAATGAGCCCCTTGAGAGATCTAAGGCATCTGGTTCCTAATTATAGAAAATGTACTTTAAGAAGATAGTTTAAAGAAACAAGACATGTCTGAACTTCCAAGCTATTTTACACTTCCATGTGTAAGAGAGTGAGATTTTACTAGGTTCAAAAAGTAATATGCTTAACCTACTGTGAAATACTATAAGAAGACTCCAATAAAGACATGGGGAAGTGAGAGGAAGAGAGAGAGATCATCGCATAAGACCATAGTGTATCAAGGAACTAGGTGAGCCCTGACTGATATTTGCTGTGCAAGGCCAATTCAATTGATCTCCACCAACTTTTAATCGTGTCCTTCTATAAAGTAATGCGGAATCATTTGCCAAGATTGATTTTTTCAAAGTATTGAAGATCAGGGGGAAATTTTTTTTCAGAACATCAATCTGTAATCATGTTGGTTGTTAGCATGCCTAAGTTGTTATTCAGCATGTAAGTTGGTCTCTTTCACTATTCTATGATCACTTGGAATAAGAAACCCACCAGAGTTCCTGGAAGAAAGAAGAATACTTGGCTCTACAATATATTTTGTTATAATTCAATGGGAAATCTTATATACAGAGATAAAAAATAAACAGAGTTTCTTAAAGATGAAAGCAAGCAGCTCCCTCTCTGTCCCTACTTTTGACGTCATGTCCTTTTCTTTCCTTTTTCATTGATTTCTTTGACTCCCGTCTTTCCTTGCAAAGTACTAAAAAAAATGTGTGTGCAGAGTGATCATTATCACTTATACTGATATTCGTTCATCATGCCTTCCAAAAATCAGCAAAAACAAACCTAATAATGACTTATTGCATCTCTTTATTTAACATTTTCCTATGACATTGGCATTGCAAACTGCGAATTGTTGAGTCTTTTGATTTTACTGAGTAAGCATACTCACGACTGGAAAATCTGAAATGACGGTAAGCAGCGGCAAAGAAACCTCTGCAATTTTATGTTTCAACCTTTTCAAAGACATGAAGACACTCAATTAGTACTACCAATTTGTATTCAATGAGAGGCAGATGGAAAAACTTTGATGTTGCAAAATGGCATAATACCTAAGCGGTAATACATCGTGAAATAAAGAGTAACAGCAAATCTAAAAGATACAGCTAACTACTAGGGGGTGAGCTGCGATAATCCTTTCTATGCAAGTTAGAATACCTTATTTGGGATCCGTGCTGTATATGAACCATCCCCTTCAGCAGTAACATTGCAAGATCAATTCTAAGTTGTTTAATTTCAGGTGCCAGCAATGGGAACCCCTCTATGTCAATCCACCTACTGACAGTGCAAGCACAGTCGGGCAGAATATATTGAACGATTTGGAGTAACTTGGTTATTTTCTATCATTAAGTATCTATTGATACTCATACTATTCTAAATACGAGACAGAAAAATTGCAACAATTTGTTCACCAGGACGCGAAAACATAAACTAACAAGGCAGCAGGAAATCCCTTCTGATATAAATGTGTCTCTATATGCCAATATATACAAGATAGTGTCTTCAAAAATAAGGACTTACTTAACTGGAAACTTCCATTGGCCTTTCCATATGCGAAGTCTTCAATATCAGGTAGGCCACAAGGCTGCACACAGTAAATTGAGTAATATATTACAATAAAGATAACTCATTTTAATAAAAATAAAAAATTTATAAAACAAAAATGAAGTAATTCGTTGAAGCCATAGATGGTGAATGAATTTCAAAACGTATGACTAGAGATGGCTCAAGCCACCGGATTGGCAGCAATTGATGAATTTGGAGCAACTAAACTTAATTATGCTCCATCTAAATTATTCTATCAATATAAGTGCAACCCTAATTCCATCTATATAAGTCTACTTTAACTATGAAAAAAAGTATCATTAAACCTGTCTGTGTGCACCCTATTATTCACCGGTGCTCTTTTTCAAACCATAGATGTCATTCTGAGTCTCAGACAACAATCTCATTTCTTTTGTTTGTTTGGGTTTGTGACCTATCTTGTTATCTTCTTCAAGTGTCAACTGGAAGACGAAATTTGATAAGGCAAATGTATATATTTGCATTTATATTTATATGTCTACTTTCTATACATCAGATATGCCTATTTTTTATACTTTATATGTATATATTTGCATTTATATATATCCATAATATATACTATCTGGGCATTTAAATCTTTAAGACCTCTTGTTGAGCTGGAATGTATCAAATGAACACCATTTTGGTAAGCTATAATTAATCTTTGTTGAAAAAAAAAAAAATATATATATATATATATATATATATATATATATTCTTACTTTCTGGCTTTGAGGTTCCGCTTTAATCTCTCTTTTGGTGATTTCCACTGCCTTCATCACTCTCTTTTTCCTAACAAAAACATAAAGTTCTGATGCAGAACTGCCTTTGGAAGATTCAGAACCTGAAATTTTGACAAAGTGAGTACGACACAAAAAAATAAAATTAAAAATTAAAAAATTAATACTGATGAAAGTGGAAAAATACGTTTTTTAAGTGAATTCTTAGGTTTCTCGTACCTGGGTTTGGTTCTGTACGTGGGATTTCTAGGTTGGATTGAAGGGTTTTGGAAGGAAATCTTGTTCTGGACATTTTGTAGGAATTGGTCGGAGACGAGAGTAATGAAAGAAACCTGCTATTTCTTAGGGAAGGAATAGACATTTGGATTTCCAAGGACCAAACACACATTTTGGTTTTCGACATAATATTATTTTATTGTGGTATGATTTGGTAACTAAAATTTGGTGTAATTTTTTCTTCCTTTTTTCAACGCAATAGATAATAATTTTGTTTACTTGTTTAAAATAAAAAAACCAAAAAAATATAAATATAAATATAAATTGAATAGTTGCAAATATACAAATAAAATATTAAACTCTGTCAATAAGTGTGGTGAGCCCACCATCTCATTCATATAAACAAAATTTCAAACTTAATTCACTTGAATCTATAAATTATTGTTCTATTTAGTTTTGTATTTCACTAAAATGAAATAACAAAGAGGTCAAAACTTTTTCATTTACTTCACTTCAAATTATAAAATTATTAATTCTTTTGCTACCTTTCACTTAACAAAATAAAAGTGAAAATAACACCATATTTTCTGCCCTTCGATTATCTTTTTTTTTCCCTAGCATACCAACATTAGGTTATGTTTGGTAAAATAAAAATAAAAAAAGATAAAGATAGTTAAGAGAGTAAAGAAAAGAAATGATATTGTTAATCACTTATGGTGGTTGATTAATAAAGGATAAGAAAATGATAAAAATCATACTTGATAAATAAAAGTATTTTAATGGATTTATTATCGTACTATAAATTTTGTCTTTTACAAAAGGTAAATTTGAAATTAAGAAATTTTATTAAAAACTAATGTTTCTTTCCATTTCCTTCCATTTTCGAACGGATAACAAATCAACCCATCACATATAATTTGTTTCCTTCCTAATCCCTCTATTTATTTATTTTTCATTTAAAATTTTTTATGAAACACAATATTTCATTTCCCTCTACTACCTTTCTGTTCTTTTTCTTCGAATACCCTCTAATAAAACTAGGCCTTATAGAGTCCGACTCTTATTTAGAATGGAAAATGAAGAAAAGGCAATTGTTTTTGTTAGTATGAAATAGCAATAAAATAATGATTTTGTACTAATACAATCATTTTAATAAAATACTGTATAATGTTTGGATTGAGAAAGTATGAAGGGGAGTAAATTATGTGGAAACATAAAATATGTTAACCACTAGTTTGGTTTTAAAAACAGCGAATAAAAATAAAACAAAATTGTCAAGGAAGATTAAAAAGATTGTAATGAAATACAAAAATAACGGTAGGTAGTTAAGGCATTATAGCGTAAATACAAATATGAAGGAGAGTAAATGTACTTTTTCACCGTGTCATTGTTCCCCACAAGTTTATTAGTACTTTATATATTCATCCAAAGTGTATAACTTAATCGAAGGGGAATCATTTCAAATTCCTTATTTTCTTCTCCCTAAAGTATAGTGCCATTATGCAGTTTCCCTACTTGGTGTGTTTTAATTGTCATATGTGAACACAATCATTGTCTTTATCCATGTGTTTTGGTTTTGACGAAAATTCTTCTTGTGGTATTTTCTTGCCATTATTATCTTTAATTGATTCACCTGTAATGGATTTACATTTAACTATGAGATAGAAATTTTGTCCTCCATTAATGACTTGAGCTATGGATTCTTGAACACAAGACTACTAATATAAATTCAGAGTAGATGGATGCATTCTTGAATGTGAGACTGAGGGATATCTATTTGGCTATTTCAATTATTTTTGCTAATTTTCTTTTACTTGAAGCTTACATTAGTTCAAGATATTGATATGAATTCAATGTAGATATACTTGAAAATGTAGCACAAGTCACGGGGAAAGTTAGAAGAATTGTAGAGGACTGATTGTTTTATGTAGACATGCCAATTCATTATACATTGTATTTTAAGTTGAGCTTAAAATTTAACGAAATCAATAAATTGTTGAAGATATTCTTATTATTATTTTACATGGTTCAAGTTGGTTCCTTGGCAAAAAATAAAACAAAATATGAAAAGAAAAGAAAGAATTTGATTCGGTTGTTATTCAAAAAATTATTTCCAGTAATTCAAAAAAAAAAAAAAAAATAAAATAGTTCTCTATGCACTATATATATATATATATATATATATATATATATATATATATATTAATGCATCCTGTTTTCTAGTTAAGTGTGGTACCTGTTAAAATTTCTATTTCCTAGTTAAGGTGTTTCGGTTAAAGTTTCATGAGTCCCAAGCTAGTAATTTCCGATTAATTAATACTGCACTCTATTTTGTAATTAAGGTATTTTAAGTTGAGCTTAAAATTTAACGAAATCAATAAATTGTTGAAGATATTCTCATCACTATTTTACATGGTTCAAAAAAAAAAAAAAAAAAAGGATTTTATTTTCAAAAATTCAAAAAAAATAGTTTTCAGATAAATATAAAAGACATTATGTAATTTATGTTTGTTACTAATTACATGTGTGTTATGTTTTATTGTGTATGTAACATCCATGAAATTTGAACTCTTTGTCAATAATTTTTTTTCTCATAAACACAGTTCTCTCTCTCTCTCTCTCTCTCTATATATATATATATTAATGCATTCTATTTTCTAGTTAACTGTGGTACCTATTAAAATTTCTATTTCCTAGTTAAGGTGTTTCGGTTAAAGTTTCATGGGTCCCAAGCTAGTGATTTCCGGTTAACTAATACTGCACTCTATTTTCTAATTAAGGTATTTTAGGTTGAGCTTAAAATTAAACGAAATCAATAAATTGTAGAAGATATTCTTATCACTATTTTACAAGGTTCAAAAAAAAAAAAAGGGATTTGCTTCGATTGTTATTCAAAAATTTAATTCCAATAATTCAAAAAAAATAGTTTTCAGATAAATATAAAAGACATTATGTAATTTATGTTTGTTACTAATTACATGTGTTATGTTTTATTGTGTATGTAACATCCATAAAATTTGAACTCTGCCAGTAAATTTTTTTCTCATAAACACAGTTCTCTATGTACTCTATTTATATATATATATATATAGTAATGTATTCTATTTTCTAGTTAAGTGTGTTACCTGTTAAAATTTTTATTTCCTAGTTAAGGTGTTTCAGTTAAAGTTTCATGTGTCCTAAGCTAGTGATTTCCGGTTAACTAATACTGCACTCTATTTTCTAATTAAGTTATTACGGGTTAAAGTTTCATGGTTTCCATTGGGACTGCAAACGAGCCGAACTTCCAACAAGTAGCTTGGCTCACCTTGTAATATATTTTTATTAAATAAATAAACCAATTCCAATCACCATTTCTAAGCTTGTTTGTTAAATACTTTAGAACTAAAATATTTATACGTGCAACATTATTTAATAGCTTAAGTTTTTGGATTAACGAGCAAGTCCCCACCCGCTAAAATTGGTATCAATTTTTGATTTGTTAAGTTGTGACCATGCGCTTCAATTCAATGCCAATAAATCCAAAATGGGACCAATTAAAGAGAATCACACAGAAAGCCTGAAAACAGCCACAATTGAAAGAGTTGCACCAGATTGAGCACACTGGTAAGTGTAATTTCAAGCTCTTTAACCTTTGTAGATATTATTTTAGCTTTTATTTTTTTGATTGTGTAGTGGTATATGAGGAGGGCATCGGATAGAGATCACATTTCCTAGAAAAAGTTGAAGCCTAATCAATCTAATTAATTTTTGGGTTCAGTTGGAGATTGCCGCCATACACTGGGTTTATTCTTAATGATGTTTTGTAGAATGCAGCAGCAGCTACAGCTATATATCTAACTATATATATAAGCAGAACAAAAGTGAGATTGATGAGATGGCGTCTGCGTGAATGAAGGTAGCATATATACATATATTTCAAAAGTATTGTATTTATGTTTACAGATCAAGAATGTTGAATAACAATCTAGAGACACAAATTTGGTCATACATGTCATATTGTCAATGGAGATCAGAGACTCCCTTATTTACAGCTTATTTCAAACCAAATATAATTATTCTTCATCCTGCCCTAAAAGTAAATCTTTATCCTGCTGAAAAGGGAAATCTACATCCTGCAGCCAAAACAAATCTTTATATACCACGTCTACAATTTCCAATTCCATGTCCAATTTTTCTTGCAGCGAATGCTCCTCCTGCTCCTCATTTAAATACTTTCCATCCTTGGTGTATGCAATTTCTAATTCCATGGGTTTCAGCTGCTCTTGTTGTAAGATTATTTATTTAATTGTGGCCCACATGATTTGGACATGTGATATATTACTTGGTGGGTAAGTAAATAAATATCAATTAATATTATTTATTTTTGGTCAACTTATAATTACCTTTTTGGTAATTACTTATTGGGGAAGTGTTTTCCTTTCTTATTTCTTACTTTTATGGAAAGTAGAATTATGTTACTATAAGGAAAACTGGTCCTCTCTCTGCCTTTATAAAAGTGCATATACTCCATCAATTATGTACAATTAATGAAACAATACGTAAAAGTTTTATGTGTGCAAAAGGCCAAGAGAGAGAAACCAGTTTCCACCTTCGCCTGTTGATCAGAGTTGCAGATTAGTTCATGGCCAAAGAATCTGGACGTTGGACTTAATTTCAACAAAAATTGATATCGTGAATTGAGGTATTTATATCTAATTAGTATTTATTTATGCATTATAGATATGTGAAAATCATGAAGTTCTAAGATATGGGATTCATGTAAATTTGTGATTAATGGCTTAACACGAATTATTATAGTTTACACTTGTACTCCTTTTTCTTGCAACAGCTCTTGGTGGGAGTGGGACATATTTGAAAATTATTTCTGCTGCTCTTCATCATCATCGAAACATATAAGCTCCAACCAATTTAAATATTTTTCATCTGCAGTTTCTATTTCCACGGGTTTCAGCTGCTCTTGTTCTCCTTTTTCTTGCAGCAGCTCTTGGTGGGAGTGGGAGTGGGACATATTTGAAAATTGTTTCTGCTGCTCTTCATGATCATCAAAAAACATATGCTCCACCCAATTTAAATATTCTTCATTTGCATTTTCTAATTCCATGTCAGATTTTCCTTCATAGTTATTGTTGGATTTCAGCTCTTGATGAGTGTTACTACTCGTGTGTGTAATTCCTAAGTTCGATTTTTCCTGGTGAGACATATCTGCAAAATGTTCCTGTTGCTGCTCTACATTCTTGGTGTTTAAAGTTACATATTCCATGTTAGGCACTACTCTTTCTTTTTCACAAGTAATATTAGTGTAACTTTCGTCACTGCCTTCATTTTTGTTTCGGTTTCCTTCTTCGTTGTTTTTCTTGCCATTATATCTTATTCGGCAAACCACCCATTTTTGGAACTGCACTCATACCTGCCCAAACACATCAGTTCAGTAAATATCTAATGGTAAAATGATTACAATAGCAATAAATTGATCCATTGATAGAATAAAAAACAAGTATGTTTTAAACAAAGAATTAAGCAGTAAAACTTATATATATATAGAACTCAAGCTAGCACATCATTAAGCAATAACATGCATCCATGACTGACAAACACAGATTTTTGATGTACCTCAAAAATCATTGAGTTCATGCATTAGTGATACATTATTGTGTACCAGTATACAAGTCCATTTGAATGCACTTTTCTATTCAGCATGCTCTTTGAATATCGCTTACACACACACACACAAATATGCAAAGATTCAGTTTATTTATTTATTTGTAGCTTAAGATTTAACTAAACAATGCTCACCATGCATTAAGAACATCTTTCATTTTCAAAAATTAAGAAGATTTCCTTATTAAAAATTGCAAATAGAATTTACATCATGTCTAGCTCACATGCATTAAGAACTACATCTTTCATTTTCGAAAATTAAAAAGGTTTCTTCATTACCAATTGAATACAATTAACATCTGTTTTATTTGTTTTCATGTCTAGCTGTTTTAATTTATGCAGCTCATCACCAATGATAAATTATAAAATATATCACTCACATAGTGCGTACTGAAATTAGTAAAATAGGCCCAAGAATTTCAGTTGCTGATTTCTCCAGAGCACCTCATAATGTAAGAAAGGACTGCAATATATATATATATATAGCTACTTTCATGTGTACCTAGCTAGCTTAGTTATTCAAATTGGAATATATACTCAATGAACATGTATAAATATTAATTTCATGCATGATGTTATTATTGAAAATATGTATGAAGTATATTGATAATTGAAGTATTTAAGTGCAAAGAATACATGCATGCATATACATATATTTAATTGAAGTATTTAACTAACTAAGAGTACTTTATATACATATATAGTAGTAAAAACATAACTCTAAATTAATGTACATATGTTTAATTAATTAGTAGCCATAAAGCATATAGTACGTATCGTATCTCTTGAAAGACTGTACTCATGCATAATCCAATCAGTTTTCATTCATTCATGACGATTTCGACTCTTGCTCTTGTACTTGCAAAATGTTAAGGTTTTGATATAGCCAATGACTTTCAAATTTCGGGTGTTTTGAATGTATTTGTCTCCGGTGCTGGCCTTCCAATATCCTCCGACATCAAACTTCCCTTTTACATCTCTATCGGGCCTCTTCCCTCTATCACTAGTTACACATTTCTTCCATCGACTTACAAAATAATATCTATCACACTCATGCTCATCATTATCCATATTGCTCATGGACCCATGAATATCATTTGATATACATATAGATAATTAATTAAAGTCATATATAAGAATATTAATTAAAAGGATTGAATTTAAAGTAACTAATACTCTCTATATAAATAGAGAGTTAGATATGGCATTACTTAATTAGTCGATATCATGATATAGTAACTAATTACTTACATGAAAGAAACCACGGCATCTTTTCCCCCACCATTAAATCTAATTGCAAAGTGACAATTAGGAACAAGAAAATGAAAAACTCTCCTCTCAGACCACCTCACCGGAATCCTCTACGTCCATCCCTTCTAAACCCATTCGCCAACCACCTCAAGCCCCCATTCCTACCACGTTCTCACCATGCCACAACTGATCAAGCACTACCCATCTCCATTCTCAAAATACAACCACCTCGCCCACCCAAACCCAAGAAAGTGACATTCTCTGCTGCTACACACCAACCAGGTTCCTCTCGATTCATTGATGACCACAACAATGTTCTCGCAGATATTGATCCAAACAATACTCAGGCTCTGATTAATGAGATCTTTAGGCTTAGAGTTGAAGTTGCAGAATTCAAAAGCAACTTTAAATACTCCTATCTCTTAGAGGAGGTTGAATGGCTCCGGGGCATTATTGGTGTTGGGCTCAAGAGTCAGGCAAGCTTACGGGACCGGATCTCTGTTCTCAGTGATTATATAATTGCACTCAACCATGATCTCCCTTGTGATGAGGACAATGACGATCACACCACGGCACAGCAGTTACCACTTTCCACCACCATGGCCACTGATGGCCATGATGGTAACTCAACAGTACCACTCCCACTGGATGACATTGAAGAAGGCCAATGCAGCCCACTACAGGGGCACGATCCCCACCCTCCGCCACCCTATTGTGCTGTAGAAGATCACAATGATCATGGCAAGGCAGCTCGGGTTTCTCCTCCACAGCAATGCTCTGGCAACCACCACCACATGCGTCACATCAAGCCTCGAAGCATGGATTGCAATTCAAATTTGAATTCAAACTCAATTCCAGGCCACTCCTCTCAAGGTACCCCCTTAACTCATCCTTTACCTGTCAGCATAGGTACCATACCTAATTTGGGAAACGTAGGGGAAATAGGTTTTCCTTCTGACAAAAAAGTTTCAAATCCTTCCTTTGACCAGTTACCCAAACCATGTGCTACAACCACCCCCTCAAATCCATCTTGGGCCGATATTGTTAGGCTCCCTTTAACTTTTGTTCAACACTCCAACCCATCAGACAATGTCATGAAACCACCCTTGGAGGTTGAGCAAGCTGGCTTGGAAAAAATGAGGTGTAGTCTATTAGGCTACTTTGTCCATAAAAGCCTACCTTTTGGTATGGTTAAGTCTATCTCTTCTGCCCTATGGTCTGAAATGGGGTTCCTTCGAGTGACAAGCACTGAGAAGGGGCTATTTGAGTTCCACTTCTCTTCAAAGGACCACTGCAATGCTGTCCTCAATGGGGGTCCATGGTTCTGCGCAAACAAAGCTCTGATTCTCAACCATTGGGAGCCATGTTTTAAGAAGTCAAATCACTCTTCCATCCTTATCTGGATCAAGGTGTATGGTGTACCTCTCCATCTCTGGACCGGACCTGGGCTAAGCTATATTTCTAGTAGCATTGGGCTACCCTTGTTTGCTGACTCTCTCACCAAAAAGAAGCACAAAACCAGATATGCTAAAATATGTGTGGAGATCAAAGCCACATCCGACCTCCCTTCTGTCCTCAAACTCTATCTTAATACTGGGAAAATTATTAATGTGATTGTGGAATATCTCAACTGCCCTGCAATTTGTGGTTTTTGCAAATGCTTTGGACATACCTCCAAGACATGTTTCTCCAGATTCCACCACAACAAAAGTCATCAACCTAATTCTGATTGGCAATTAATTTCCCCTAGGAGGTCACCAAACCAAGCTTCTACCCCCAATGATCCACAACCTCCCAATGATCCACAACATGGTCAAATTGATATTATCCCTGACTCTCAACCCACAGTTAACCTCCACCATGGCCAAAATGTCATTACCCATTACTTTCAACCAAATGAAAAGCTCATCACTGATCTCAGCTCCTACAACCCAACCCTCCTTCCAGCTTGTAAACCTGTGGTTTCTGCTAACCCTTCACCCTCAAAAATAAATTGCCTCATCTCTACAACCCTTCTTCCACCTGCAGGGGCTGATTGCTCAAGTATCTCTGATACCGAATCCACTGTTAGCCTTCCCATTATAAGCAAGACAAAATCTTCCAAAAATCACAAGGGTAAGAAGAAAGCTTTTACTAGAAAGTCCTCTGGACCTCAAAAGGGGAATCTTGTCCCAGGAGGAAGCTTCATCAATTCCATTAAATGGTATCATTAGCCATTTGGAATATAAGGGGTCTAAATCTCCCCTTAAAGCAAGCTGAAGTAAAGCATCTTCTTAGTGAACATAAGATAGAAATTGTTTCTATCATTAAGACCAACATCAAGCCCTGGAATGTGGACATGGTTCATCACGCCATTGCCAAAAATTGGAAGTTAGCACACAACTACCAATTCTCTGAATTAGGTAGAATTTGGGTACTTTGGAACCCACTATCTGTTGACCTGCAAGTGCTTCATTCCAGTAGACAAGTTATTCACTGTCTGGTCACACTTTTGAGCTGTAAAACTTCATTCCACGTCTCCTTCATTTATGCTGCAAATGATTGTACTGAAAGAGAAGCACTTTGGCCTGATATTCAGAGGCACTCAACCTCCATCTCTTCCCCTTGGATTTTAGGGGGTGACTTCAACATCATCAAATCATCTGGTGAAATCCATAGGGGCTCAATGAGGACAACAAAAACAATGTTTGATTTTCGAAATTGCCTGCATGACTCCAATCTTGAGGACCTAAACTACTCAGGTATCTTCCACTCTTGGACTAACAAGAGCCCAGGTATTTCTAACATCTCAAAAAAGTCGGATAGAGTCCTTATAAATGAGCACTGGAACAATTCATTTCCTTTATCCCATTGCCATTTCCTCCCTCCAGGGATTTTTGACCATAGTCCAATGGTAATTAATCTTGGTAACCCAAGGCCACAAAGAAAAGTCCTCTTTAGATTTTTCAATTGCTGGAGCAAGCATGATAATTTCCTTCCTCTGATCCAGTCCATTTGGAATTGTCATGTGGAGGGATACCCAATGTTTCAAATCTTAACCAAGCTCAAAAAGCTAAAACAGCCACTCAAGAATGAATTTTTCAAAAAAAAAACTCACTCTTTGCATGCCAAATTGCACTAGATGCCAAACCCGATGATCAAACTCTCAGAGCACAAGAAAAGGTCCTCATTTCAGCCTATACTACACTGAAGCTCACAGAAGAACAAACTTATAAGCAGAAATCTAGAGTATTGTGGCTCAATGAAGGGGACTCAAACACTTCTTTCTTCTATAATTCAATTGCATCAAGGTTTAATAGGAATAAGATCTCCTCTATTACCTCTGCCAATGGTGAATTTCTTGACTCTGAGGAAGCTATTAAGCTTGAAGTAATCTCCCACTTTGAAAAGGCACTTGGAATGAACCCTCACCCTTACCCTGGCTCACAATCACTTGCACCCTTTATTCAGTCCACCCTTCCTGATGATTTCCTTCCTACACTTTGTGTCATTCCCACT